GCCTTCACCGTCTATCCAATCTTTCCCTTCCACCATATACAGGCAAGGGGAAGCGTCACATAAATTTAGGTATCATCAGAGATTTTCACGGCCTACGAAGACCGTTCTTCGAATTAGAATCTCATTTTACGGTGCAATATCCACGACTCCATATTTCGGAGACAGTCGTCGTGCCGCTGTCATTTCAGGTAATGTGTCTAGGTGCGTTCTAACCCAGAGCGCTCTGACCTGCTCCAGGATCGCTTCGACGAGGGTTTCACTCAGGCGTTCTCCGCGAGTATCCTTGAGAACGTATAGACGCTTCATCTCGCACCAAATAGCAGAGTCGCGCTGGAGTGCCACACATCCGAGGGTTGAGGGGAACTCTGGGGGAGATATTTGAGTCGACCCGTTCGAATAGTGTTCTCGAAAATCCGTGCCTACCCGTGCGATCAACAGAGACTCTCCTTTTGATGAGGCATGTTTCCCAAGTAGGGAATCAAGTTCCATTTGGAACGTAAAGGTGAGGTCAATACAGAGGTGTACGGCATGGCCAGAAACTATTGAGAGGATAGAATCGGCGTCTTTGGGGAATTGCGCCAGCTCGATCTGGATTTTCAGGACAGAAAAATGAAGGCTAAATTGGGACGTTTAAACGTCAACAGCAAAGGCTTGAGGTTGATAAGCAACCCTGGTGACTTACAAGTGGCCGTTCACCGTCTCTCGAATTCACTTCTTCACAGTCAACCTCTTAATTAGGCGATAGGATGGTGACCCCCATCTCACGAGACTAACAAGCTGTATACAGCCAGCGGTGTCATTCGAAAATATGCAGAGTTTTCAGTAAATTGAAATCAAAGGAATTCTCCCTGGTTTTTGAAGGAAAATCTTCTCTTGTCTCGTTGAATTTCACCCATAGTACAAAACGCCGAATTTGTCAACTCCTAAATCAAAAGGCTGATTTGTATGTATATACAGATCACTTTATTGGTAGCTAACAGAGAAATGAGTGTCACTCTGGATTTCCACATGGGCCTTCACATCGCCATTCTGCTGGATATCCAGAACGGCAGCGTTTTTGACACCATACTTCGTACCACCAGCCTCGGCCCGGGCACCGGTAAAGTCGACCGTGCCAAAATTAACCAAGGGAACCATGCTGTTACCGGTATTGAAGTCCTCAACTATCCATTCAGCATTCTGGCCAGCAAGGGTTGCGGAGCTGGAGGGAGCAGATAGAGTCTTAGTAGCTCTTTGGCCGCTCGACTTGTTCTCGATAATAGCAACACCCTTGCTGGGTGAATATGACTCGACCTTCGCGACGATAACATCGCCTGCGGACAATTCAAGGTCAAAGTTCTCCGCACTCAATGGATACCACTCGTACCACGCGTCAAATGTCTGTTTGCCATCCTGGAGATAGGAATCGATGCCAGTCTGTAGGATGGCCTTCGTATAAGTATCACCATCAATACCGACCCAGGCGGATACAGCCTGGATATCACCAGAGTCATCGGTGGCTGTAGGCTCGGGGACATTGAACGTTGCAGACACAGCGGTGTAGGTAGCACTGGCAGGTGGATTCGCGCGCACTACTCCAGCCCAATTCTTACTGTATTGTACATTGGCACCTTCGGTTCCCTCCTTGAGTAGAACACCCTTCTTTTCAGCAGGTAGTGACTGACGTGACAGAGCGCCACGGGCCTGCAGGCGGTCAATAAGGCCGCTGCGCGGGGCAGCCAGAGAGCCGCCTGCTAGTATAGCGATAGTCAGGATCGCAATTGTGAACCTCATGATGATGACGGGAGGGAGATTAGGCAGATCTTGGAACGGTTTAGATAGCAACGAAATATGGGCATGACATGATTAGCCTGGTTTCTCTCGCACTTTGCCATGATGGTACTTATACCCTGAATCTCATGCTTGGTGCATCCGGCACGACATCATGCCCAGTCCGCATGGGGAAACGGAGCTTGTGGCAGTGGTGCTGATAACCCAAAGCGCTAGATGAGAGACAAAATTATGGACCCACTCGAGTGGATACATGGAAAGGGAAGAAGAGCAGGTTAATCATAGGCATCTGAGTAGCGTCGGTGTATGACCTGAAATTTGCGCGGTTGTGTTGATCCTCTCTCTTTCCCACCGGTTGCTCATGATCTAAGCCAAGGCCCTTTTTCCGTTATCGTCGTTCTGGGTGAGACTAGAATCTAACGAGCAGCTCAGCAGAACTTGCTCGTTTCTGTGACGGGCACATTCCTGGCGACAGAAACATCTGACAGCGGAGCCACGATTGGATCAGACGAAGACCAGCGACCCCGACATCTGCCACGAGGCTCACCAAATTCAACTGACACGCATCCCATGGAAGATTTGCAATGAACGCTGTATAAAATGCCGACATTCGAAGGTTTTGCGGCTGTTCCATTTCTGTGGGTTTAATGTGACCACTTCGTGCCATTGACCCTAGCATCCTCAACATATCTCTACCGATGTTAACGAGCCTTTCTCCTGGAAGACGTCATCATACATGAAAACTAAACTAAACCGGTGCGAGTAACAGAGCCTTTGAAACAGGAAAACTAGTGAGAGCGTCGTTACAATCTCACTGGGTGCGGTAACGCATACCTAGGTAACAAGCAAGGGATGACAACGTGTTCACATTCCTGTGTCTGCCATAGTCCAGCCTCCGAGAACAGTACAACCTGTTAGCAGTCGTCGCTTGACATGAAGCCAATTAGTTCCGTGCAACAGCTGCCAGATCAAACGGCATGACACTCGTGTGGGATGAAAGTTGACGAGGCAGAAGCAGGTCCCTTGGAAACAAAACACAACCGCCTTTTGCAAGAGCGAATAGGAAATTAAAAAGGTTCAAGCGTGTTCAAAGCGATACACAGATAGTAAATCTTGAGATTAGAGTCAAAGTGTGTTCCTGAAGAGAAATCGGCAAAACTTGCTTTCGACGTTGCCTGTGTTCTTTATCATCACATAGGAAGCCGACACATCTCGGCAAGAGACCAGAATTTGTGCATGTTGGCAGCTCCAAGAGGTTGAACCTCTTGGTCCAAATATGTCCACAGAACCTTGCCAAACCCTTCCATCAGCCGCTGGACCTCTTCACGGCGCAGATCTTCCTCACCGGACCGACACTTGTCAAGATTGTTTTCGAGTTTTTCAATCCCCGCATGAATTTGACTGTGTTGACTCAATAGCTCGAGCTCCTTTCGAAATTCAGGCATCTTTTTCGCCAACACGGGGAAGATGTGCTGCTCCTCGATTGAGTGATGGAAGTCCAACTGCGAGCAGAATTGAAGGCCCATCATGATCACCTGGCGGGCCGAGAGTCCTCGTTTTCCAGAGCTTCCACATGCCTTCCAGAGCTGGTTCCATGTTAAACGGAAATGATTGTGCTGCATGAGAGTTAGTGGAATTCTGCAGATAAAAAGCACCCAAGATGTCCTGATGTGTGGTAGTTAGCTTACAAATCCTTCCATTTGCTCCTCCATGCGATTGTAAGTCCGGAAATCACTTGCGGACAACGGAGAGTCGCCCAAGTCCCTAGGGGAAGAGGCCATCTTGCTGGAACCCATTGGATTGAGAATTCGAGGTAGTAAAGAGGGTCGAGGGATACATGTCAAGAGTAATTGGCGGGGAAAGCGAAAATACATGGGACAGCAAATGGAAGCAATTTACTGCCGAGAAGCAAAAGATGTAAAAGACACTAGCACGAAGTATTGCAGAGAGGTGATCTGGAGTTGCTATCAAAAGCAGAGACTTCTGATTCGGGGCTTGGTTCTCCAGTTCCGTCTAGTGCAAGATATATGGGGAAAGGTCAGGACAAGAGAGTCAGTATCCCAGCGCTGATTGGTTTCATTTCCTATAGTCATTTTTAAGATGCACGAATTGACATAACGGAGTATTCCACATCTTTAACGGATGTTTGACACCTCGGGCGGACCGCTGGACAAAAATCTACAAGCTGGCGGAGGAGAGGATTCTCCATTTCGATATCAGCACCTCTTTGGCAAATTATCGGCCATAAGCGGGACATGTCGCAATCTGACACCCGTGCTACTGAGGCTGGTTGGTTGTAAATGTGAAGGTTGGTAGGTGCGCCAGGCGAAGAAAGAAGAAGAATTCATGTCATTATCAATACACATCGGGGGCACCCGGGTCGGGCAAGAAAATAGTAAGACAATGTGTCGCCGGGAGGGGGAATCGAAAATATCAGACAGTAAAGGTCGTAACGCCGTGGATGTGAGAATAATAAGACAATCAAAGCTCCTGGTGTTCAAGCTGGTTCTTAACAGGCGGCCGGAAGTGGCCGGACATAATTTCCTTGAAGGCAAGGTCGAACCGGGCGCCCATCATCCAGGCGACGAAGACCATCAGACTAGCTATAATAATAACGACAACGCCCATAAGAGCCATTATGAAGTAGACATCATTCTTGTTGTCGTCGTTTTCTTTCTTTTTCTGTAGCTCGGCGGCAGTGAGCTCACCGGAGACCTTACGGTTGGCAGCCTCGGCAGATTGCGTCGGGAAGATGGTCTCGATGAACTTCTCGATCTGTCCGCAGACAATGCTGATCTTCAGGAAATTGGGATCCTTGGGAGTATTCTTCTTGTGAATTTTTCGCGTGTACTGGCGGAAGCTGTCGCACAGGACTGACAAGTTTTGTGTGGACTTGTGCATGAGATCGCATGCATCTCCCTTGGTGATCTTGATATTGCGCTTGAAGATTTCGGGGTTGCGGAAACACAACTCCATTGTAGCGATGGCCATGGACTGTGGGATTGCACAGAAGTTGAAAACACTCTGCTCTCGCATACCAGCCAGGTAGAACAGACACTCCTCGGCGTGCTCCAGCGCGTTCAAGACCATCTCCGAGCTGCAGTTAAGGGCTGCGTCAAGGTGCTCTGGCTTGAAGAGATCCTCAAAGTTGTCAACGTGCTTAGACCAAATTTCCTGGGGCCAGAATCGTCGGTTGTCATCAAAGTCCTCCCGGATGTCACGGATGATATTGGTCTTCTGGAGGAAAAGACCCATGGATTTGTGCAACTTGGGGCGTTTCAACAGAGCCGGGTTACCAAACCCGGCCTCAACAAAGAGGCGAGTGAGGCCTTCGCCAACCAATCCAGCGACATAGTAGCAGTACAGATCATACTCCTCCTTGGTTTTAACGCTGGCATCGTCATTCTCTGCCTTCACGGCATAGTCAGCCATGCCATTACCCATCTTTTCAGTGATGTCCTTGACGATAGCCTGATATTCAGGCTTCATGTTCATGAACTCCGTGATGACGTGGTTGAACCGAACCAGCAGCTCACGGTCCTTCTCCTCCGGCCGATTCCCCGTGAAATTCCAGCCATCCTGCGTGAGGAAATCTTTGAAGTTCCGGAGGAGAGGCTCCTTGGTGGGCAGAGGGATGGAAGTGTCATCCTCAATGGTATCCAGCCCACGGAGGGCCAAATAGAAGATGCAGATAGGAATCAACAGTTCGGGATGTAATTCCTTGATGACAGCACTGAAGCTCCGGCTGGTTTTATCCAAAAACTTTAAACAGATCTTCTGGTTCTCGGTCTCGTTCTTCTCGTCGCGCTCATGGGGCGGGTTGTGCCAGACTTTCCTATACGACGTTGGTGATGAGCTTTACAAGCCCATGATGGATTTCGCGAACTCCAGAACATACCATTGGATGATTGACCTCAACTGCATGGGGTGAAAGGAGTAGTAAATGGCATTGCCGATGAGACCCATTATGGGTGGAGGAGAGGCGCAAAAGCCGAAAATTCGAGGAATTGTTACAAGGCAAAGTAGCCCAATCTTCAACAAGTGAAGAAAGAAGAAAACAGGGCCCCGAAGAAAAGAAACCGAAGCCGAATACTGACAAACAACAAAAGAAACAGAACCTGGGGGAACGGACGGGAGTGGGAAAAGGGGAAAAGGCCAGAGCAGATCAGGTGAAGAAATATGTGTCATGTGATTACAACAAACTATGCATACAACCCCCACATGATATCAGCGCCAACTTCCGAAAAATATCGTGAGGTTCTGCCTGAACAACACAGGTTTCTGTTTTTTCCCTTCGGGCCTTTGACTCTTGAACTCGTATCTTCTCTTAACCCCCTTTGTTCTCGAATTAGGCTCGGTCGCTGCGATGGTTGCCGATACTGCCTACTACGATGCCCTAGGTGTGCCACCTACGGCGACCGAACTAGAAATCAAGAAGGCCTACCGGAAGCTGGCTATTGTCACCCACCCGGGTATTACCACCTCTGATCCAATATTTCTTTGAATATCTTTCTCACCTGGTTCCACAGATAAAAACCCTGGAGATGAAACGGCGCACGAACGCTTCCAGGCGGTATGATTGCGCAGCCACAGAAATCATGCACATAGCATGAGGCTGATATTCTTCTACCATAGATCGGTGAAGCGTACCAAGTCTTGAGCAACGAAGATCTCCGGAAGCGTTACGACAAGTTTGGCAAGGAGGAGTCTGTGCCTGGTGGTGGTTTCGGTAGGTCAATCACATGCCTGCTGCTGTCCCGCACAAAGTTTCTGATTTGTCTTGTACAGAGGACCCGTCCGAATTCTTCAGCATGATCTTTGGCGGCGAGGCCTTTGTTGATCTTATCGGCGAAATTTCCCTTATGAAAGACCTTACCGCAACTATGGACATCACGATGCAGGAAATGGAGGAGGAACAACTGGCCCAGTCTGCAGAAGAGAAACTCAACATCCACGATGAGGAGGTGAAGACTGCAGCTGGTGATTCGGCTTCTCCTCACGAAACCCACGAGGCCGCGGCAGGAGCCACACCTGCAGCTACAGCTGCTGGCCCCTCCGAGAAGCCGACCTCTGACCAGAGCTCTGGTACTAGCACTCCCCGACGGAACTTCGGACAACAAGCTCTTATGGACAAATCCGAAGAAGAGGCCCGCATGGAGGCAGCCGGTCTGTCTCAGGAGGAGAAGGAGCTGCGCAAGAAGGAGAAGAAGAAGGGTCTGTCCAAGGAGCAGCAGGAACGCCTTACCGCATTCGAGGATGAACGCAGAAAGGCCCGGGAAGACCGTGTCAACACACTAGCAAACAAGCTAATCGATCGTTTGAGCGTTTGGACTGAGACAGACAAAGGGAAGGATGTGTCACAAGCCTTCGAAGAGAAAATCCGACTTGAGGTCGAGAACTTGAAGATGGAATCTTTCGGTCTGGAAATTCTCCACGCTGTCGGTCAAACCTACGTCCAGAAGGGTACATCCTTCCTCAAGTCACAGAAGTTCTTAGGTATCTCTGGCTTCTTCTCACGCTTGAAGGACAAGGGCACCCTTGCAAAGGAGACATGGACCACCATCTCCACTGCTATTGATGCACAGATGACTATGGAGGAGATGGCCAAGATGGAGGAACGCGGTGGTGAAGACTGGACCGACGAGAAGAAAGCTGAATATGAAAAGAGAGTCACTGGCAAGATTCTTGCTGCAGCGTGGCGTGGCAGCAAGTTCGAGATCCAGAGTGTCCTGCGTGATGTCTGTGACCAGATTCTGAGCGACAAACGGACCCGACTTGAGAAACGCATTGAGCGGGCGCATGCGCTAGTGATTGCTGGCAATATCTACGCGAAGGTACAAACGCGTCTTCTCCATACACGATCCCATGCTAACCACTGAGTTTTAGGCCGCACGCGACCCCGAGGAAGAGGGTGATTACATGGCCTTCGAGCAACTTATGGCCGAGGCAATGAGCAAAAAGGGCAAGGATGAGAAGGACAAGAAAAAGAAGAAGTCCAAGCACGACTATGATGAGACCCACAGCGGAAAAGAGCCGGTGGAAGAGACCACTGCTTGATTGCCTCCTTCTCCATCTCATGTTTCCTTTCTCATTTTTCTTGGTTGGGTTCCATCTTGAACCGGGCCTTTCTTGATAGCCGGTTTATTATATCCTGGACATACATGTTGGGTTTGCTTTTCACCTTCTCACCTTCTTTATCGGGCTTGACGATTCTGCTTTTTCATGGCGACTGGATGGTTACGGGTTGCGACACGCAGGTTTTTCGAGCGATAGATTGGACTAAGTATCTCTGATGCTATTTGATCAGTCGCAACAGCCCGGCAGCGGTTTGATGCGGGTTATATGGACATAGATGCTCTTCAAAATCACATTGAAATAAACGTTGACATGACATCGCATCAGTGCTGCAAGTGGTATAACGTCGAAAACACGCAGAACCTGTAATCGATTCCCGAGGATAATCATTCGCCTTCCTTACGAAGGCCACGACCATCACCACCGTGAGATCTCGGACCGCGGTTATGCAGGACTAGTCTCAGGCGGACCTGCACGGTGAGTGGGCTAGCACCAACCTGGTGTACACCAACTTCATTCTCCTTCCAGGGAGGCTGATACCCAGCCCAGTCAGAAAATCAAAACACCTGGCAGGTCAAGAATGGTGAGTAAGACAATGGCAACACAGAATAACCTGGATATAATTTGAACGTCAGGTCCGTTTCTTGTACCGCGTGTGGGTTGTCTCGAGACTCCCTGAGGAACCTCGATTGGTAAAAGGCAAAGGATGTAGATCGCTAGGCCCAAAGATCAAAAGGACCATCAGAACGTATGTTTGTCTTTTGCAGCGGTGTACATATCTTAGGCCCTAACATTCGTCAAGGACCACAGTGACAGTTATGAGAGGTCATACGTTCCCTCGGCCTTCGTTCCCAATTTTCGTCGAGTTGAAATGCAAAGTCAACTTTGACACGCTGTCAACGATAATCTCGTCTTTTCTCCGACGTTGATATTCCCGCTTGGACTCGCCAAGCATTTCCCCCACACGTTGGCTATCGAAATCTCGGGATCACCGCAACTCAATGAGGTTAATCTTCAACATCTCAGGACTGTCATAAGATTACATCGTGCCAGATAGAACAGCAGAGAGGAGCCTACGCGATTCCATATAAGGAAAGAGATTTGGTCGATCCTCGTTTCCACTCCCCACAGGGCAGATAACAAGTCTTTTAACAAGTCATCGATTCCTCGAATTGTTTTCGCTACTTTGTCGCATTCATACAACATAGGGGGAAAAAACACACCTCCCCCCCCCACCAAATTCAAAATGGCTTCACTACACTCATCTGCCATGGTCCTATTGGCCTTTGCAGGCAGCATTGCCGCCATGGCTACAAGCTCCGCGGCCGCAGCCGGCCCCACCGGTCTCTCATATCCGTCGGGGTTTGATATGAAAACAAGCTGGGCTAACCTCAGTCCCTATACCGATGCACTAGGGTTCAATGTCTCCAAAGGGTTTCCGTTGGAGTGTGAATTGTCGCAGGTGCATGTTCTACACCGCCATGCCGAGCGGTATCCGACACAATGGATTCTCGATGGGGAAGGCATGGAGAACTTCGCCCAGAAACTAGTCAACTATACCAGGAAACATCCAAACAAGAAGATCGGATCTGGATCCCTGGCGTTCTTGAATGGTTGGGAGTATTTGCTTGGTTTGGACACTTTACTCCCAATTGGCGCCGCTACCGAGGCCACTGCCGGTGCGCGATTCTGGAGTCAGTACGGCCGATTGCTCTATCGCGCAAAAATTAGTGATGCGGCCTGGGATGCATCGTTGAACGTGTATCCCAATGGTACCGCGCGCCCAAAGCCGACTTTCCGCACCACTTCGTACCCCCGGATTTTGGAGAGTGCTCGCTGGTGGCTGAGTGGCTTCTTTGGAAACACAGGAGCCAACAGCTCCTACTCGGAATACAGTCTAACTATTATCCCCGAGGTTCAAAATTTCAACAACACCCTGTCGTCGACCGAGTCCTGTCCGAATGGTATGGAACCGGGTGACAATGCTGCTCAGGTGTTCGCCTCGGCTGTTGTGAAAAGCGCCCGGAAGCGCCTTGCGGCCCTCCTTCCCGAGGATTTCAAGCTCGATACCGCCGATATCCTGGCGATGCTCAATATGTGCCCCTATGAGTATGCGACTTTTGGCCAGTCCTCGTTCTGTGCACTCTTCACCGAGCAGGAATGGCGCGACTTTGAATACTACATTGATCTCCAATTCTACGGTGACTACGGTTTCGGCTCCCCCAGTGGTCGCGCCCAGGGAATTGGATATGTTCAGGAGCTAGCAGCGCGCCTCCAATCCAAGCTCATCACGAGTAGTGACAGCAGCATCAACTACACGTACGATGACAACACCAAGACTTTCCCACTCGACCAGCCACTATACATGGACATGTCCCACGACGATATCATCGTGTCCGTACTGGCTGCCTTGGGTCTAGAATACTTCAAGTACGGCCCTCATGGCCTGCCTGTCTCGGTGCCACACGCCCCGCCCCGCAACTTCAACCTGAACCAGATGACTCCCTTTGGCGCACGTCTCTTCTCGGAAGTTTGGACCTGCCCCAAGAAGGTTTCATTCAAGAATCTCCAGGTGCAGAAGTACACGAACCCCGATCTGTCATTGGAGCCTAACACTACTGACTACATCCGATTTGTGTTGAACAATGCGCCCGTGCCTCTGGATGGTCTCAAGGTCTGCGATGGGTCTGTGAATGGGTTCTGTAAGGTCGACCGATTCCTTCGCGCTCTGCCTGATCTCAACAAGCAGGCCATGTACCAGGAGGCTTGTTATGGTGACTACAATATCACCAGTCAAGTAGGCAATGGGCAACCGAGAAAGCCTTGAATGGTGATGGGCAGCTTGCTCATAGCGGGACAAAATGCACCCGGCTCTGATCTGGGTTATCTTGAGATATGTACATCTTCTGTTAGATTTCAGCGGTAATCTCCTGCCGTATCTAGATGGCCTGCTCTGGTGGGGTATATGATGGAATGCTAGGATGTAGACCTGTGTGACATTTCTTCCCTCTCCCGTCTGCCACCCCAGAATCAAATGACTTGGTCAATATCATGTAATTAGCGACTAGAAATTTCTGAAAGCAGGCCGTTACAAAGGGCGTGAAGTGGATCAAGGTTGCTTTTTTCATGACGCCCGAGCACATAGACGAAACAGATGAAAGACACAAGAGATGAATGAATCATGCTATTTTGGTTCCACGCACACTAAACCCGTTCGCCATTGATCCAATTTGGTTCGTAGAACAATTCGAGTGGGCGCTCGGGCAACCTTTGCCTGGTAATAACGGCAAAAGGTGTTACCCAGACAGATCTCACACCTGTGATCTAGGAACCAAGTATTTGGAAGGCAAAAGAGACATAGAATCAGAGGGGTTTAAGGAGACACTGCGTCAGCAGTGGACAGGACAGTGTCCATTTCCCTGATGTTGGACTATTGCGGTGAATTCTGTTGATCATGTTGACCACGATATGAAGTTGCAGACTGTGATAGTACCCATAGGAGATTCTGGTCTTTCGTTTCTGTATAATCAAGAAAAATGAAGAACACAACATTAAGCCAGCTTAAACAGAAATCTGGCATCGTCAAGCGTTCAAGTGAATTGGTGCACAGTGAGACAGTGGACAAACACGAGACAAAATTCGAAAATCGGGTATCTTTCAAATTAGCCAAGAAAAAGCGTCCGAGATGGACAAGCTGATCAGGTGTGGAGGTCTATTATTGACCACCCTACCCTGTCTGGTGGAAATGAATGGCAAACGCAATCATATAAATAAAAGCAGCCCAGAGTCGCATAATGCAAGTCGCTAAGCCCAAACGAGTGAAAAAATGGCCTGTATCAATAAAGAAATAAAGGGGCGTAAAGAAATAAAGGGGCGAATTTAAAATGAAAGGCATCAAAAAGGGGTATTGTGTGAATGTATGAACAAGCAGAAAAAAGAAAAAAAAAGAAAAAAAAACCGGAATCGTCCCACCGGGAGACGAAGGTAAGAAGTGGCATCATGTACTCGGATCAGCAGATATAGAGGGTGTAGGAGATAGTGTTCCAATAGATGGCGATTCAACAGATGACAATTCATAAGCTTCCACGGGAGAAAAGACGGCGTTATAGTCGGTTGAAGAGCTCAAAAGACCACGGCCACTCTCAGCAACTTCACCCAACTCTTCAGGCGCTAGAACTCGGCCACCCAGCTCAACGTCTTGAACGTGGACATTGTACTCAAGGGCTCTCTGTCCTTCCTTTATGAGTTCTTCGGTCCATCCGAGACAGCGCTTGAGGCTTCGGTTCATTCTCTGGCTGTCCACCAACACCTCCTGATGTCGCGCCAAGTCGAGCATGACGTGTTTTTCATCACTGACACGGTGCTTGGAATCATGCTCGACCAGCGAGCCTGGACTCGAGATGCTTTCGTCCGCTGTTGAATCCTCGTCGCTGATGTCGGACATATCATCTTGTGACTGGTTGGGGATCTCGCTTCCACCTTCATCCAGTTCACTAGTTACTGATAGTGCCGCTCCGGAGGAACGGGTGGAAGGTGCCATTGAAATCCGCCCCGATCGGCTCAGTCGCCGGAACCGCCGAAGCTCTGCTTTCTGTTGCCGCATTTCACGCTCCAGGGTACGATTGATGGCTAGTAGTGAAGAGTTACTGATTTCCAAGTCCATGATCTTGCGCTCGGTACGCGCATTGAGAGCTGCCTCGCTCGGACCGTCGGATTTTCCGGGACTGAGCGGTGCCGAAGGGTAAGTATCAGTTGAGGTGGTGGATACATTGCTTAAGATCCGAGGGCGAAGGGTGATGATCTGTTCAGACATCACGGACGCTGTTCCTTCAGCAACATAGCTCCCGGATAGGATGAATGGACTTGCTCGCAAGCTTTCTTGTGAATAATTGCCATGGAGACCTGAGTCGACACTTGAGGACTTGGTATGTCGGATCGGTTGCAGTCTGGGTTTCTCGTCGATTAAACTGGACGATGGTGAGCCAAAACGGGGGGGAATTCCTAGTCCATTCTCGGCGCTGACGATATATGGCAACCTGAGATCGTCCGGCGGGTGTGAAGCCACATCTGAAAGACCAGGAGAACTCAGGCGTGAGCAGGAAGATGTTGGTTTGCTGGCGGGGAGAGGGCGTGAAATACCGCTCGATCGACGTTTGGCAGAAGTGGATGTACCATTCGACTGTTCCCCTGGTGAATTTCGCTCTTGGTCTCCGTTTGCATATATGAAGCTGGAGGCTGGGGATATTTTTCCCTGGGCCCTAGGGCGAGGGGCATCTGGCGGCTCAGAAGGATGAGATGATCGTGCATCGGACGCATAGAAGAACAGCGGAGTTCCCGATGTCATATCCGAGAAGGAATCGGGACGTGATAAAGGCTGATTCTCTGCCGTCAAGGTCTTCGCCCTCATACTTCGGGATTGTTCCGGCTTGATCCCGCGAGCCGGACTGCGGTCTCGACGGCCGTAACCGATTGTTGACTGGGAGTAAGGTGCATGTGGAGAGGGAGACGGGGCATGTGAGATATTTGTGGGGGAGTAAAATGCGCCATCTCGCCGGGTTGTTCGAGGGCCAGATCGTGGAGTGATATTGGCGCTTAGAAAGGTCGGGACCGCGGGGGAGTCGTCTTTGGAGGGGGTGGAATAGGGGTGGTCGGAATGTGCCAGGCGGCGCGGAAGTCCTGGACCTGAACCTGGACCTGGATTTGGACTTGCAAGTTTTGGGGTGAGCGGAGCCTTGTTACTCCGATGAAATGTAGCGCTGAGGGTGGGTGTAAATGGTTTGGCGAGACTGCCAGTATTTTGTTTATCGTAGGTCATAGTTGCGGGGGGTGCAAATCATGGCATTGCGAGGTGCCACACTACATGAGCATGGTGGCACCGGCCAATTAAAAGAATCTCCCGAGTGGTTTTCGTTGTAACAGGGAATTTGTGGGCTGATGGAAGGGAAAGTCAAGAAAGTCGAGGAGAAAGTCGAGTGACGAAAACAATGCTACCCGATTGGGTTTAGGGCACCGCTTCACCGCAACGTGGAATTCCTTGCTTCGACGAGCAAGGGCGTCGAAAAAATTGAGATTCTGATCTTAGAAAACTTGTGAGACCTCTCTTGTCCGCGAGAAATGGTTCTATAAGGCTCTCGATTGACTTGTAATTGCCAACACGCCCAAAGGTAAAGAAACCCCTGTTTCCTTCTCCCTAGATGTCCCGCTTCTATCCCGAATCTGGCGGTTGTCAAGTGGAGACTTGAAAATCGGTGAGCCTGCAATAAAACAATAATCGCTTCATGCCGCATTAAGATTGGGTCGGTGGAGAGAAGGAGCTCAGGACTATTCTGTTGGAATGACTGGCATTTTTGACACCGAATTTTCGTTGAGTTTCAACCCCGTCCAGGTTGATGGACGAAGACATCTGGGGAAAAGAGTCATTGAAAAAAAAGCCGCTTTTGTTTTGGGTCTATTTCAGGAACACTAGCCAGTGACGGCGTCTTCCTTTTTTTGGAACTGTGGGGTATCAAGGATGTCTCTTCCGAGGTGTGCTGCGCCACTTCCAGAATCGTCTGCCGAGAGAGACAGAAGTCCACATGCTCGTTGAATGAGCGATCATCTGCGACCTGTGGCCATGTACAAATGGGACAATCCCACATCGGGGGTACTTCAATCACTTCTGGGGCCGCAGAGGTCTCTGGCTCACGAACGATAGAAAGATTGGGCGTTTCTTGACTCAGCCGCTCTAGATCGTTCATCTCATCCTGGATTTCTTGGCGAGCCGCTGCCTCGAAAGCCTCCTCTGCACAAATCTCGTGATCTATATTTACACCAGAGGCCAACATAGGAGTGGGCTCAGAAGGAGACTCGGGAGCAGGTTTTGGTTGTGTCGCTATGCCGAAAAAGTTGATCCCAACCTTCTGAGTGCTGACCAAATTCGAGCACCGAAGACCCAGAAGCCGTAGCTTTAGGTTCGGAATATCCTTCTCAAGCTTGGCAAGCATGGGCAAAGCGAAGGAGTACAAGTCTTTTGCCAGGGAGACGGCACGAGATGGAGCTGTCTGACGCGTGAGTACTTCGAAAGTATGCAGTTTGACTTTCAAGGCAAGCGTGCGACCTTTGAACTGAGTCCGCGCCAGATCCTTTGCAAGCTCCTGCGCAGCCCACCATAATTTGGCTCGCAGTTCCTCCTTGTCTCCAATGTCATGAAACGTGGTCTCTGTACTGACACTTTTTCGGACCTGGGTCTCGACAGGTTCAATTTTGGTCCGCCCAAGACCGAGATAGCACTGGGCCAGGAATTGGAAAGCCTTCTCTCCGAATAACTTGGTTAAAAAAGCACGATGATGGAAGATGTCACCACATTTTTCGATGCCTATTGATTTCAGCTCGCGCTCGAATGCTCGGCCAATTCCATTGACTTTGCGGACCGGCAGGTCACACATGAAGTCCATGATTGCCTCTCGCTCATTGGGAACTTGAAATTGCCCGTTAGGCTTGTTGAGGTTGGAAGCAATCTTTGCGATCTTTGCATTAGCACCAATTCCGGCTGAAACAGACACCTCAGTTGTTTCCAATATCTCTGCCCGCAGTCGCTGAACAACCTCATCAGGCTCTCGGTGGTTTTCGTCGCAGTAAGCTGTGATATTCAAATAGGCTTCGTCTATACTCGCACTTTCAAAAAGAGGGTCATATTCGGCTATGATAGCGCGAATTTCCTTAGCCTTTGTGGTGTATTTGTCGTAGTTCGGTGGCAAAAGAACCAGCTGCGGGCAGAGCTTTTTCGCGACAAACGAAGCCATACCACTTCTAACGCCAAACTTCCTCGCCACATAATTGCAGGTTGTCAGGACTCCTCTACCCACCGCCATAGGCACTGTCTTCAACTCGGGCCGGCCAAGCTCCTCAACAGCGGCAAAGAATGCGTCACAATCCACATGAATGACATATTGAGAAAGATCTCGACTCAACTCTAGCTCGGTGAGATATTCATCGGCACATCGTAGATCACTGCTCAAGTCAAGACGTTCTAGCCGTGCCTTTTCTTTTAAAATGCGTTCGATTTTCAGAGTAAGATTTCGATCCCGATCTTGCTCGTGATTAAAGAATTTAGAGCCCTTGGAGGCATTGTAGATAATCTCCGATACCTGGAAGCTCGAGCTCAGCTTTAGCTGAACAAAGATACAATCTCATCAAGCGCACCTTTAGCTGATCTACTGAGTCTTGGCCCGCTTTGGTTAAAGACGGACCGAGTAGCTGATATTTCAGAGTGCCAGAATCCTCACTAGGAGCCGGTTCAGGCAGTGGACCACAGGCAGGACTCTTCTCTGATGACTCCATTCTTTTCCAGTGTCCCATCGATGACTGATGGAGGATCCTTCAGAGGAGAGAGCGCGGCATTTAATTTGACGCGTAGTCACGTGGATTCGTGTTCAATTTGAGCGCGCCTCTCAGCTACGTAGCCTAACGCTGAACAATAAACCCCGGCGGACTCATCGTCATGTGGATTCTCGATTCGACCGGTGATTTTCTGGAAGGTGGGGTTTTAAATCTAAAGGGATCGATCGATCGCTAAATCCTCATAGGGAAGCGTGTGTGGCTGCGCCCTGGAAAGAAGTATTTATTCGGTCGATTCCATCGAGATGGAGGTATGGCCTCATTCAGTTTGATGATCACACCTTTTACCTGACCTCTTATCGAATAGTCCGCCATGCTGTCAATCATACTTCGATATCCCGCAAGCATATGACCATTGAAATCTCACCGGTGAATTCGAGAGATGGGGTACGGTTGATTCCCCCGCGAAAACATACATTCTCTGGCTAATTCGGGCCCAGTTATCACCACGAGCACGATCCACTATTACTATAACCGATTTGGACTCGAAGAAAGGAACGGTCGTTGATGAAAGGAGAATCCATGGAGAATGCAAGTTGGACAAGAGGGATGAGCATGTCATCCAGCTCGCGAAATACCGGCATACGCTCCGGTGTGTATCTCTGTTTATGATTGATTTGAATTCCAGCTGATGATTTCGATAGTATCAAATGGGAACCCGTGATTCTAACTTTGTCAGCCTCCTCCAAGCAGGTTCGAGGTGAGGATCCTCTAGCCCATGTTCGCTCACGTCTAGAGGACCTCGACATTAAGACCATCATGGACTACATTGTCGATCACACAACACATGTGGTACAGCGTAAACGAAATACAGCCAAGGGTCTTCAGGCGCTCGTCAACGGGAAGTATATTGTAGATGATTCATACATCGATGCACTCGTCTACGCGGCTACTCCCGCTGATCTTGAGAACGACGAGTCACTCTGTCCTCTCGAAATCGACTTTAAATTGGCGTGGCCCGATCCAAATCAACATCTCCCTCCTCCTGGAAAAGAGCCAACTCAGCGCCCCGCCGCTGCTTTCGCTCCGAACTCCGCACGTCTTAATGTCTTCGAGGGATATACGTTTATCTTCGGTGATCCAGCCCAGTTTGAGAATCTGCAAGGTCCAATAAACAATGGCCAAGGAAAGACGCTTTTCTACCAGGTTGAAGATGGGGTCACAACTGCCCCAGACATCGTTCGGTTCATGAAAAAGGCAGCAGGGGGGAAGGGCGTGGGAGGTGAGCGGCACGGTTCCGGTGGCGTCGTTCTTGTTCGCTTTCGATCAAAAGGAGACCTCGAACAGTGGTCTATTGACGTCGGTAATGAAGTTGCCCTGATGACGGACCAACGCGTGATAGAGCAACGAGAATTCCTTGACGCCATCCTGGGAAATGATGCATCGCCCCTCTGTCGTGCCTTGCCCGCGGAGGAGGGCTCTAGTCAGATCTTCGCATCTACACCAGCAGTCGAGGCTGTGCAAACCAGCCAACGAGCAATTTCTGTCGTGCCCGTCGTGTCCGAATCGGGATCGCCCCCTGATCCTAAGACTAGTCAGCCCTCAGCAGCTCGGTCCAAGATCCCCCGTGTGCGTGCATACGTCAGTAAAATGAAAGCCTTCGATGACGGATTCGACATGGAATCTGTCCCAGTCTATGCGCCTGAAGGAGAAAACATCAATATCAACTCCACCCAGACCATGGACATCGAAACGCAATCACCGTCCCAAGCACCCCAGTCCCTTGATACAGTAAAGGAAGATCCTGAGGAGGATACGGTCGCTGATCTTCTCCCGGGCGCCCGTGCAATGAAGCGTCGTCGTGCAGAGATGACTCGCCACTACCCACAGGGTGAAGCCGTAGTCACCGAAACGGAGGCCCCGAAACGCAAGCGACCTAAACTCGACGTGCTCGAGGCCGCGCGAAGACACCGAGAAGATGAAGAGCAACAACGCAAGGCCGAGGAAGACACCCATGCAAGCGACATGGGTGATGTGGATGTGGACCAATTGAAGAACCTGGCCATTGTGGAAGAAATGGAGATTCCCGCCCGGAATGCACCGGCCCGCGAGGTTGGCAGCTCGAATCGATGGGACGACCAATGGAACGGGCGCAAGAACTTCAAGAAATTCCGGCGAAAAGGCGAGCCGCGTGGTCGAGCTCGCATCCAGACGGTGATCGTTCCCCTAGAAGAAGTAACCCGCAAAGACTATGGAATCGGCGATCACTACTGGGGCGGCAATACCACCGAGACGAACTCTCGAATCGAGCTTGCGGATCCGGGCTCCGAGGATCGTCGTGGTGAGCTTGCCCCATCATGCTCCGAGCTGTCAACGACTGCACGCACCTCTCCTGAGCCGACTCCAGACCCAACTCCAGCTAGGCGCCCGAAGAGAACCCGCGAGGAGCGCGATTCAGATAGTGATGATGGCCTTCGTTTCCGTTTCAGGCGCAAGCGTTAGCTTCCGCCTTATTTTTCTTTGCAACGGTTTTGTAGCGTCTATTCTGCATCGATACCCTTCCCTTCATTTGCTGATGTGTGCCTTATGTTTTTCTATGGGTAAAGTTTTTCAGAGCTGAATTACAATGACTAGGTAGAGATCATCTCTGTCAAGTTTCTACGGCATGACTGTAGAGCCAAGGGTGCTCTCACGGCCGCACATCGTGTTTGAGACGATAATGTTGCAAATCAATACATGTATAATGTAACATACGATCTATTTGAATCATTCATGTTTTAAATCTTTATCTGCGTTCGTTCTCGTTCTCTAAAGTCAGAATAGAAAGTATTCCTACAGTTGAAAGGGTCCGTGTCGCGCAACGTCTCTCCTCTTTACATTCAACCTCCCCCAATACATCGCCACATCCTACCTATATCTTTGTACTTTTCATCTATTTTCTTCTCTATTAGATGATCTGTTCCATTTCATCTTCTTCTCCTCTCTTCGCTTACGGCCGGGTTCGTCTCTCACCCTGCCAATCCCATCTAATCCGCCTCCCTAGGCTCCCCAACAGCTTGCTGGGCGAACCCCTCCATTTCTGTAACTTATTCCCTTTCCTCGTGAATTTGATCCACTGGAATCTACCGCCTGTATTGAGACCAAATATCGGGCCAATGCTGCTTTGATATCACCACCCAAACACAGTTGTAAGGTGAGTACTGCCGTATATGCATGGCGCCGGCAAGACCTGTTTGCTCACTGACATATGCCAACCTCTAGCCACCAGGCTGCAGTTTCTCTTCTGAAGTAGAGCAAGTCGCACTAATGACCTCTAACTCCCCTGATCATCTCCTATCTCTATCTCTACCGCTCCTCAGCATTTCCGCAATTTCTCCTCTCTGGTCAGTGTCGGTCAATTCAATAGCCACTGCACCCGTTGTATTTCCTGCAATCGTAGGGAAATCAGACTGCAGCCCCGGTGCAAAATTTCTTTGCCGGCATTTCTTTGAAAACCACACCTCCAGTCCTATCCCTGCCAGTGAGGGCCAATCTCAACTCCCCGCAACAGTCCCCGCATTGACTATGTCAGCCCCAGCCCAGTTGGGAAATCAATTCATGGACCTCCCAGTTGAGATCCATGAGATTATTCTGGATCATGTCTTTGGCAAAAGAGCCTCTGCTGGTAATCATTCATCATATGGTAAAACTTCTGCCCAGAACTGGAGTAAGGCCCTGCATCATCCACGGCGGAAGGCCCTTTCCAACCTGGCCTTGACTTGCCGGGTATGGACTGGACTTGTTCAAAGCCGAATCTACCGCCATAGTAAGCTTTTTCTGACTGGGAATCTAAAATTTTAAAACGATTGTACGGACAACTGACTTTTTGCATAGTCAGAATCAAGGGCAGCAGAGAAGAATTGGCCAGCTGTGTGCGGTGGTTCAAGAGAAACCAGCATTTGATTACTTACGTCTGCCACATTGAGATTTGGATGCCTATCTGGGGAGATCGGGCTCTTCAGCCTGACATTTCTCGCTTGAATGCGGAGCAACATACTGCTCAGGCAGCCGCTGGGCGCGTTGTATCGATGCAATTGAACCATGATCATCAGGGAAATGACATGTTTTATTATCACCGCGTGACGAACAATGCTTCCTTGGAGGAAATTTTTGAGCTGATTCGACGATTTTTCCCTACTGCCCGAGTTCTCACCCTGGAGGGTGGCCACTGCAAAAACCCGCCTATGATCCGACACTTCCGCCACAGTCGTGGCATGTACAGTCTGCAAGCTCTCATTCCACGGCGTCTACCTGTTCTTGAACACATACAGACATTTATAATGCGTGGCGCCTGGAACCTGATGCGACAACTAGACGACTGGCACAATATTTCGCGGGCATTGCCAGCTTTGAGTGAATGGCAGTGTGCTTGGGCTCAACCCCATCTGAATGCGTACTTCATCATGATCAACATCTTCACTCGCCCTCCAGCTACAATCCGACACATCAATCTCAGCCTGGAGGGATTTGACACCAAAAATACTTTGCTGACTGGGCTTTCTGGACCTCGAAGCTCACTTCCTCCCATCTGCAGCCTGCTTGGCGAGAGAGCCGCGCACTTGGAATCTTTTGCCTACACCGGTCGTGTATGCTGGTACTTCTTTGAGACACTAAAGCAAGGGGCTACAGCATTCAATTCTTGTTCTCCGCTCAGGTACTTGGACCTTGTAGTCAAGGCGTGCTGTCAGAAGGCGGACAAATCGCATCACTGGTCGCAGATGAGCCTGGGGATAAGCAAAATTACGAGCCTTGCGTTTATTCGTGCGTTCGAGGCAATGGTGGTCAAGGCAATCGAGTGTCTATCTGTACTCCCTGCCCTGGAGTATTTGCGGATCCGTTTCATCGATCTTGACTCAAGATGTCCACCTCTGAACCCTTATTTCCAGCTTGATAATAATAAGTGCACAGGCCTGTGGAGTGAAGACATTCTGGAATCTTTGCGCAGAAACCGACCATCGGCCTCATTTATCGCGCTTACAGATGGACTAGCCGCGGAGTACAGTGACCATCAAATTGTGGGCGCCTTGATGCCCCGGGCTCGCCCCCTGGGCATCCAAGTGAACACGTACAGTCTTCTTGCGGACAGCTCCAACTCTCACTAGGCTCACAGCTTGCTTTGGTCCCCTTTTGGGTATTCTGACCTTTTTTCGCCTTGTACTTTCGTAGTTCACTAATACCCTTTCATCGTTTCTGACATCTCAACGAGTTTCTTGTTCAGCATTCCACACTTGCCCTTTTGTGACATCACGCCGGTGGCTGTCATATTCAAGCACATATTGGCTGCCACTTGCCGTTCTGGCATACTCTTTCTCTCGCTTCTTTGTTTTTTCTCCTTCTTCTTTCTCTTAAAGTGTCAGAGTATGCAATCGTCTGATGGGCTGCAAACTTCTTCGATCCAGAGAAGGGAAACAAAAACTGCGCTCAATGCCACTTTTCTTGTCGCCCGGCTTTTCCGCTCTCGACTAGCCGTCTTCGAGAGGGCAGCCTGCTTTTTGAGTGCAAAAGCACTATCCTCTTTCAACGCCACTCGTGGATAAGAGTACTGAATCGGGGGGGGAATCGGAGAATCGTTCTCTTGTGGTTTTGCCGGTTGGCTTGGTTTTCTCGGTCATACTGACCCATAAAATGTCTGCTGGATTGGGTTGTATTTAATGTACATGGTTCAATGTCATCCTGGTCAATCTTGGTTGCATTTATCTCAGACCCGTCACTGTGAACACATCTCCATTAGATAAATGTAGTTCCCCTCTCATTTTGGTGCATTTGTGATCTCACCAGCATCGTCCCCACCATCCCGAACGATGATGCCCAAAATCCAGACATTCACGGCGAAGAAGAAGAGCCCTGCGAGGAACAGCCCAGGCACAAAGGATGGCAGCCCTAGGAATTCGAGGTTGTACCCTTGGTGCAGCCAAAGGGCCTATATAGTATGTCAGAGCTGTAGTCTGAACATTGTGACATCGGATGGTCAGTAAATAATACATACCTGTCCAGCAATCCATAGCATGGCTGCTGATATGCCAAGAGTGGGCTTGCGAACAAGCGAGGAGAAGGGTAGGTAAAACGGAAGCAGGATGAGGTACCAGAGGAAATACTAGACAGGTTAGCTGCCAGTATGACCAATTTCGGACGAAATCACATACCTGACTAGTACAGACTTTGTTGAAAGTTACAAATGTAAAGGTTTGCGCGAGCATCGCAGTAGCCAGGTTCTTCTTTGCTAGAACAAGAGGCAAAGCAACAACCACAAGGGTTAACTGCGGGAGGAAGGCCAGCGCCTCAAAGCGAGTTTCCGCTCCACCGGCAGCAGACAGATATAGCAGTGTACTATATGGGGAGAAATTGTGGCGGTGATCGATGCGAGTAAGGTGGTGGAAGAATGTGTGGTGTAGGAATGGGTGGCCGTACTGGAGGTACATGACGAGATTCAATGCCACGAAACTGGCCAGTGCTGCGACAGTGAATTTCACCCGGGACGGCGTAATGAACCCGAATACCTTTGACAGCAGACTTGGGCAAGCCATTAAAGACCCATCGCGCTCAGCATCCCACCACCAGAGAATGGAGACACCATAGATGAACGGATAAATTTTGAAATGTACAGCAAAACCCAGTATAACCCCAGCAAGGGTAGGCTTCTTTGTCAAAGTTGCCCATAGAAGCGCCGCAACAAGCACGCCGAGCATTCCCTCGGAACTACCACGGGTGCTGATATTGGCAACCATGGGGTTCCACAGCCAAACAGCGGCCACATATCGCAGCGCGCGCTCGACAGGAAAGCGATAGCATTGGACAAGTAGCTTGACAACAAGCCATCCAGCAAGTACATCAGACAGTGCAAAAAGCGCCTTTCCGAAGGTGAAAGTCAATGCTGACCAAGGCGTGGCAGCCTCCCATGCAGTCGGGAGAAGCATCCATGCCAAGAGTGGCGTGTAGCGGTAAGTATCGCGAGCATAGGGCGACTCGCCATTTGCAACGTAACGGGCAGCATCAGTGAACACCATGTAATCAATATCGGTGTATTTCACAGCGGAATGCGCGTCCTGCCAGCCTCCATAGACGAGGAGGATGAGGCGAAGAACGATTGCGGCGAGGAAGACTCGCGCTGACGAGTTGAAGAGAGCCATTCTCTTACCTTGGACTTTAGGTCTTTCTTTTTTGTACTTCAATAACAACCAAACGAAGAAAATCAAAGGTTGCTAGATTGTCTGTTTCGGCTAGCTCGCATAATTGGGCGTCTTGATGAACCCCTTAGCGGATGTCGTGGGAGGAAGCAAGGAGCTATACATCCAACTAAAATTTTTGGCGTTGAACCCTGTAATGACTGTGAACGTGAATTCAATCACTGGATTTTTATTCCATATGATTCGTGCCAGGTAAATCGGATGTTTCGTGGAAGATGTTGATGCCACCACTAGCCCTGGAGGCCTGATGTCGCGCTGACTCAGCATGGTCCGTGTCCAGTGCGATATTGCCTAATCGGGACGGGAAGTATACCTTCAGGCGATGAACAAAGTACATACAATTAGAGGCATTACAGCCCCCTTAAGACCGGCTTGTCAATTCTTATGCCTTCTTTGGAATTGAAAGTTGGAAATTGTATGTTTTCTGTTGATTTCATAGTGTCCCCCCACAGTTGTACACTGGTCCCTGATTTAAACACTGAGGCCCGGTATTCAAGCAGATAGAAGGCGTACATAGTATGCACATGTACTATGCATATAATCAAACTGAATAGCTCTACCTGAGGTCTTCACCTCACTAAAACAAGTAGTATTTACTGGTCCACGTTGGAGCTGCCAAAAGACGGGGAAAGTGGCCAAGGAATTGCGGGGATTTATAACGTCCCTGCAATGCTTCGTATTCTATACACTAAAAATTCAACCCGAGTAAGTGCCAAATGTCTATCCTTAACTATCCAAAGACTTTGAAGATAAGTTCAAGCCAGTCATATCAGATGCTTTGACGTCTTTGGCTGATGTCGACGTTAATGCTGCGCCATTGAGAGTAGGTTCTGGACAAGTCCAGTGAGACCCTGAGACCAGACTTAAAGTACCTTTTTTCTTTCAAGTTGGTTGACCGAAATGCCCACAGAAGGTTTCACGTAGAAACGCAGAGAGCCCGAGGGAATTTCATGCTTCTAGTCCGGAGTTGCACGTTTATACCCCAGTTCCTGGTCTTGATGTTTCAACTATCCGACATCTGACAAATATCACTACACTAACGCTTTTCAATTGTAGCTATCCATCTTATTATTGTAATGACAGAAACAAGACGTCTGAGGAAATCTCGACAAACGCTGAGGTTGGTGATACTTTTGAGATCGCTTTTTGTGCTGATGATATCCCCGTATCTAAGATTGCATGAATATCACCAGCTGTGATGATCGGAGATCTAGAAGCAAGTTTATTTACACTAAGCAAGCTGATAGCTACCACCCACCCCAGGGCACTTAGATTGAGATTGAAGGCATGTGAGGCTTAGCATACTCCCTGCCCAGTGAGGCACATTATGACACCTCGGACCTGTATTACTTGAATCACTTGGGTTAGAATTCATCGTCCGCTTTTGAAATTTGACTGGCCAAGTTGGGACTACTTAATCTGATAGGTTAGATGCCGTCAGATGATGTGGTCTGATTTTATACCAAATGCAGTATGACACCCTAATTTAAACATGTCTAGTTCTAACCGTGGCCACCCATTTCGTTAGATATGGACTATAAATTTTTTCCAAGACCTATCATTTTACAATAGCATAAGGGGGCGATCCCCCGCAAAAGAAGCGAACCTATATCGTCCACCCAATTATCTCCCAGGTCCATGGTATCTTCTGATAGACATATGATAATTTCATGAGCGTTTATTAAATATAAAGGTAGATCTCTTGAGGTGTTCTTCTCTCCATTACAGAAACTTCAGCATGGCGCTACGCATAGGAAAGTATATTATCGGGGTCAATCGAGGGCTTCTCAGTCCAGGGACCGATGAGACGGCAAAGCTCGAGAAGGTCAGCTCCTCAATGAGCTCGATCTCGAAAAAGAACAAACTTCGCCGGCATTTCAGGAGATTCTGGTGTCTGTACCTCATCGCCAATGTGATTTTCTTGTCGATTTTCTTACCAGTTTTGTACGCCAGAGTGCTCTTTTACTTATTCTCCTGATGATCATCAAACTGACTCTACTGAAAAAGCTTTCTGGTCGCGATTCCTGCTATCGCTCAGCTAGTCGTCAACAAATCGGATCTGCGAATTGTCAATGCCGAAGTGATGCACCCAACAGCAGAAACAGTGCGGATGACACTAGAAGCTAAAGTAAACTTGAAGCTTGCACTGGGCGTTCGACTCGATCCAGTCGTCTTCTATACCTTTGTGCGCTCCGCTGGCTACAAAAATGCATATGCAGGAATCAAGATCCCCGGACAAACTATCAAGGGGAATTATTCACTCGGCGTCATGGACCAGTTGACACCCATCCTCAATGTGACTTCCTGGGAAACCTTTGTGAGTCAAGCCGTTCTCCAAAAGGAAACAGCATTATCGCTCTATGGAGCGACCACTGGATATCTCGGAGTCCTGAAAAACCACTTTGTATTGGATAAAGATGTGACAATGCCAGGTGAGTACGTCACTATTGTCGACTTCCATGGCTAATCTCTGTAGCCTTAAACAGGTTTGCAGGCTTCTCCGTTGCAAATAGCACATTCCTCTTACCAGCAGAGGATGATGGATCCAACCTCGTTGCCAATATTACACTTCCAAACCCCTCCGTCCTCAGCTTTGAAGTTGGCACCATCACACTCGACCTCAAAAGCGGCCATACAGACCTGGTCATCGGCAAAGCAACGGTCAAAGGCGTCACTCTCAGACCAGGCAACAATACATTCCCGTTGACAGGTGTGATCGATATCGGCACAATGATCGGCAACCTCACCGAAGTTCTCAGCTCACAGGGTCCCGCCATCAGAAGAGGCGCACTGAGCCTGACAGCTGTCACCAGATCAATTGTATCCAATGGCACTCTGATCCCGTACTATACAAAGGCTCTTGCATCACTCCCCCTAGTAGCAAATGTGAGCATTGGTGATGTTCTCAGGAACTCGCTCGCTCACCTGGGCTCGAGTGAAACAATGTCAGAACGCGACGAAAAACGCAAGAGAGGCCCCGTGCAATTGGACGGCCCAGTTGGATACGGTGACTTGTATAGCCAGGTTGCAAGTCTGAAACACAACAGACACGTTCAAAAGATTTTTGAGGATGAAGATCCCAAGCGACGAGACGCTATGATAGATTCGCTGGCTCGGTATTATGCTGCACTTTGAATGTCTGATTTGAATTAAATTTAACGAAATCTCCATGACACTTGTTCTGTCTGAGTTCAGTTTTCTCAAATGGCTTGCTTGGGGGTTGACCAACCGTTGAGGCGAATGAGGTAGATCCATGTAATTTGTACTGATCAGCGCAACAGCTTCGAAGCATTCAAGAAAATGTGATGGAGTAGGACCCCCATGTTGGTGTCAGCCATATCATTAAAATAATGGGGAAAAAAATTTGAGAAATTCTACAGTATATTGATATACTTGAAGCGTTGAGACGAAAATAAAAAGTCAAGTCTGTCATACATTCATTTCCCACATATGCCCTATGCTAACATGCTGGATCGAAAACTTTCTAAGTAAATCAAAAGAATAGAATAGAGAGGAGAAGGGAACAAGCTCTCAGTAATAAATTCCACCATTTATAAAATAACCAGGATCCGGCATGGGATCAAAATACGCAGGTTGTTCTCCAAATTTTGGGCCTTTCTCAAAATCGGGGGTCAACAAAGTCACATCGTTCCTCTCATCGGTATCAGTGACAACCCCTGGCCACAAGCTGTTGTCACTCCAGCTCAAATACTCCCAGAGATGCTGGCCCCCTGAATCATCCGTGAAGGGTGTAGCAGCGAGAGGGTCGAGGAATCCATTCTCGCTCATTGCCATGTTACCCTGACTCAGTCCGGGCGCCGGGAGCCTGAGTGACATATCCCGACCAGCGGGATAAGAGGCACTCAGAATACTCGCGGACGAATCAGGATCAGGTAGGTCCTGCCCCCGCTTGCTAGCCTCGTAAATACGCGAGATAGCATCCAGAGATCGCTTCGCCGTATGGCCAAAGGACTGCATACGGGCCAGGGTCATCATGGCCATTTCCACTTGCGCCTGACAGGACTCAATGGAAGCGCGGGGGTCATTTACCGTTGTATCCTTGAGGAACAGTCCCACCAAGGGAACCAGAGAAGCCTGGAAGGTCCACCAGACAGCATTCCATCCGCATAGCTGGTTTAGCTGCGCCGTAGCAGCAATATTCTGAATTGATTCCTCTGCAAACTCACGACATTTTTCGATCGCGGTGCGCTCCTCGGATCGCAGTGCGATATAAGGTACGCGGCGCATGGCGTAGCTGAGCAGTGTTGGGCGGTACAGGAGGATCCGCTGGTTATAGTACCGCCAGCGCATGACTGTACGGACCGTGTTTATTGACTCAGAGCAAGGCTCATGGTCTTTCAGGACGGAGGGGAGATTGTCCCACCACTCGAGGAGCTGTGCATCTGCGTGGGCCATTTCTTGATGTTTAACAAGCGGTGCTGCGGCGAGGGACTCTTGAACTTGGGTTGCGATCTTGGCGAAGCGAACATTTTCCACCAAGGGGAGGATCTCGAGGACGTTCCCCTATTTGAATCTCAGTTTTTAAGTTATCATTCTTTCTGGGGAGAAAAAAGACCTACCTTGTCTCGGCAAAGGGGAGGTTTGACTGTAATATTTGAGCCTATCCGACCCAAACTAGGACGGCCCAGGGTCATGCCAGCCCAGGTATCCATGCAGAACAATGACCACCAGACGCGACGCTTGAGATCCATGGATGCTAGCTTCGCTGCACTCGGTATTTGACGAGTCTCGGTAAACTCTTTATGGAGTCCCAAGGCAGCCGCCATACGCAGCGCAGCGCCCATAAGGGAGTATGCCAGATTCGGCTGGCTAATATAGTGGCAGTACCAACCGCCCATCAGGCCCAGCGCCTGGATAGTCTCAATCTGGGAACTTCCCAAGGAAGTCAGAGTTAGGTGACCCTTGCACCGCAGGAAGTATGTTTGGTGTGTCACATCATCGGGTCCTGTAGCCGCAATGCAACCGAGAGCGAGAACAATGTTCAGCAGAGCAAGCCAATGGTCATCTCTGCGACGACCGGTGCAGTAGGCCTCGCGGAAGGAGCGCTCATCGATCATAGGAGCGAAGGCTTGGAAGTAGAGGAAGTATGCATCAAGCATTTGCATCTCTGAGGGTGGAATGAGGGGTTGTGGGGGTGTAATAGGCCCATGATGTGGCCATCCTGTCGGGTTCTCCGGTTCATTTACAGGAGTTCGCGAAAAGTATGAGGCACAGCCTGGATCCAGCCAGACAATGACCTTGATCACGGCCTGGATAGATGATACTCCAAGGTAAGATGAAGGCTGGCGAGCCGATAGCGATAGCCCATTAACATCATCCGAGACGCTCTCTACTAGATCCGAGGAGTTGGTATTACGGCTATCCGGGATTTCCTCAGGCATAGTTTGCAGAGCCTCGAGGTTGTCGTCGTCATTTGACAACGGTGATACGTGAGCGTCCACGGAAGCCGATGTAGATGGTGAAGTGGCATGATGTGATAATGTTTGCAAGTGAGAGCTCGATGGAACGGTGGTGAGCTCAAGGAGTTTCTCCCGCGGCAAATTTGCCAGCAACTCAGGCGAGAAGTTTGGGAACAACTTTCTCAGGATACTTCGATACTCTTCTAGAGTTGTAGATAGCTTTTCAACATGTCTGTATAAAATCAACTGGTTAGATGGTCGTCTGAAGAAAATGATCGAAGGTCTCACCTCCGCGACGGCCGCGGGTCTGAATAGTGGCACTGGTCTGACTTCTTATACCACCGACAGGCTTCACATGGCTTCTCGCCATCACACTTGATCTTGCGATGGCGACAAGATGTACAAGCACGCAAAGTTGTCACACGGCGACTAATGGATTCACGTCTCTCACTAGTAGACCGGTTGCGGGCAGAAGTTGCAGCCGTAGGGTTCTCAAACCCCTCGAATGTATGGAACATTATTGATGTGATTACAAAATTCACAGCCACCTTGCGGTCACTGAGTGAGCGACATGGATGTGTAGAATAGTGATTTTTCTAATAAATAGTGAGACGGTTGATCCTTCACATTGCTGAAAAGTGGCAAGTCATCCGTCTTGGGGGACAGAACAAAAGTAGATTAAAAAGAAAAAGCAGACTAAAACCAAAAAAAAAGTAGGCTGATCCGCTTAATCCCCTCCCTCCACCCCCCCCCCCCCCCGCCCATTTTGGTGATGGATTTGGACTTGTGCAAGTCTTTCTTTTCCTGTTCAAACACAGTCAGGTCACAATGATTGGTCGAATACATTAGGGACTATTGTAGGCTAGTGATCTCTGGACGATTCGTTGGAAATGGGAAACCGAAATCTCTCTCTCGGGTCCATTAAGGGGAAAAGAAAGAAGAGAAAAAAGCCCATCAGCCTCCGGTTTGACGTGAAGATACCCCTTCAGTAACCCTCGGCATACAAGACCAACAAGGGACTTCATGTGGCCAAGGGTTTCGAGTTTCGAGCGACCATTTCAGCCGAGAATTGTCACGCATGAACAGGGGTGCAGATGTCTGTCATTCACGGGAAATTTCCTGTTTCGCTTCCAGGTGTTCACACGCCACAGAACCTGCATCACAGGGTACTTGGCGCCCCATACGGAGTAGTGTGGCATGGATTCTCCAAAGTGAGGGGCAATTTCCCCAGACTCACTTTGAAAAAATCATGAGCCCTGCAGGACCAGACGATCATATGGGGAAGAGAACTAGCAGTGCATGCCCGTTGCATGGGGGGATTAGTTCCAGTGCTGCGTAGTCCAGTACCACTAAGGTTCCCCTTGGACCGGATATTCCAACCTGTTTTACCAGTCAAGAGGATTAAACCGTTTCATTTCTATGACTGTCCTCCGTGTCCTCCGTACGGAGCATACCGTAATCGCTCTAAGCCCGACGCCTGGCGCCTAGAATGAGGGATTTTCACAAATCAGGGGGCTGGTGCTTATGTCCACTTGTGCTTACCCCATGTATCAGGAGGGGCAGTGTGCCCATGGAGCACCTTGCCACGGTGCACCTTGCCACTGGGGGTCCGGGACCGAGATATTTTCGCGCCAAGGTCTCTTTCAAGTCAAGGGGCCGAGATAGGGACATAGGGCAGCTAGAAAAGGTTGAATTTCTCTGATTCTCCAGGGGGAAGAGGTCTAGAAAGACAGACTTCGACTGGCAAATTTAATGCACGTCTCTACAGAGCTCCTAGCTCTATTCACTCATCTTTAGGGAGATTATCGGAATATGCAAAGCCTGTGAGATAAAAGGGCGCCGAAGGATGCAGAATGCCCGTCTGGTGTTCGACCGACGTTCAACGGCCATTGGCCCAGTTGGAACTTGTTGTCAAACCTCAAATACGGCCTCCCTGGGCCATTAACAGGAACCTTGGTTTTTGTCATGGTCTAGTGGAAAGCACGCTGTATTTCGTTCAACACTTGTGACCACTCATGCGGAATAACGGCAACTAGTGCAACCAGTGTAAGACTGATTTAAGTCCCTAGACCATCGATACCCGACAGAGGCTGCTGGCGCCAGGGAAAAGTAGATGATGGGTGGAGTACAGGTGAGTCCAGTGAATCACCAAGTTCATGATAGTAGAAAAGGAAGAGGAAGCCAGGTATCAAAAATGGCATGGACCCCAGAGGGTTCGCAGCCGACTCTGAATGGTGGGGAGACCTTGTAATAAAGAATTGCAAATTTTCATTCTTACACTGTATTTGAAGAGCACCACTTGCAAACATACAGAATCACGTGTTGCACTAGTCCCTTTCTGACACGGCCAGTTTCCTCTTTCCCAAAAGGGAAAGGGGCTCTCCGGGCTTATCGATAAGGAGTCTGTGTATAAATCCGGGGACAAGGCTATCTTCGTCTTGCCAATTTCAGAATGGCTAAGCTCGTCCACTCTCTGTCTTATGGCTGGTCCTTCAAGGATTGGGATACAGACGAATGGTTGCCTGTAGCTACGGTTCCATCCGTGGTACAACAGGATCTCATTGCTAACGATAGGTGAGCTGTTTTTCTTCAACCGAAATGTCTCAAATCCAACAAAGTTCACCCAATAGGCTCGATGATCCTTATATCGGGTTCAAAGAATTGGATGCCCGCTGGGTCAACGAAAAGTCATGGGTCTACCGAAAGGTGGTGGAGAAGCCATCCGCCCCCGCCGGTTCTTCAATTGTGCTGGTCTTCGACGGTCTTGATACATTTGCCAAGGTCAAGCTGGACGGACAGGTGATCTTGGAGAGTGATAACATGTTCCTGGGTCACCGGGTGGATGTAACTAAAGCATTAGAAGCAGAGGGCGAACACTCGCTCGAGATTGAGTTCGACTGTGCACTCATCAAGGCACGCAAGCTCCGATACCAGGATACCACACATAAATGGGTCGGTTTCAACGGCGATCCATCGCGCATGGCTGTGCGAAAAGCCCAGTACCACTGGGGCTGGGACTGGGGTCCCGTGTTGATGACCGCCGGCATCTGGCGTGCCGTGCGGTTTGAGATCTATCAGGCCCGCGTGGCCAATCTGTGGCCCCAAACTCAGCTCTCGGTAGACCATCAGACTGCTGAGGTGACGGCTGTTATCAATGTGGAGAGTGTCTGTGATGGGGAATATACGGCCCAGTTTAGCTTAGGCTTAAAAGGGAACAAGATTGCAAGCAAGGTTATCCCAGTGTCTGCGAAGACCGCCCAAGTAACATTCCCGGTCAACAAGCCGGCTCTATGGTGGCCCCATGGATATGGTGAGCAGACGCTGTACGATGTTTCGGTGTCGCTACTTCGCAATGGGGAACAGGTCGATCAGTCATCTAAAAAGTTTGGTATCCGGACCGCTGAAACAGTTCAACAGCCGGATAAACATGGCAAGTCCTTTTTCTTCCGAATTAATGGGATGGATATTTTCTGCGGCGGTTCGTGTTGGATTCCAGCAGACAGCCTCCTCCCTGCTGTAAGTGCTGAGCGATACCGCAAGTGGATTGAGCTTATGGTCGCTGGCAGACAAGTGATGACTCGGTACGTTTTGGTTTCTTTTTGGTCTATTATTTATGTGCATTTAGCTAACGATAAACGATTTAAAAAAAAAGTGTCTGGGGTGGTGGTATCTATGAAGACGACTCCTTCTATGAGGCCTGCGACGAATTGGGCGTGCTGGTCTGGCAAGACTTCATGTTTGGATGTGGCAATTATCCGACATGGCCCGAAATGCTCGAGTCTCTGCGTCAAGAGACAATCTACAATTTGGAGCGTATGCGCCATCATCCTTCGATTGTGCTTTATGCGGGCAACAACGAGGATTATCAGGTTGCAGAGTCGGAAGGCTTGACTTACAACTACGAGGATAAAGATCCCGAGAGCTGGTTGAAAACAGATTTCCCGGCACGGTACATTTATGAGAAGCTGCTCCCAGAAATAGTGGCCGAGTATTCACCTGGCACATTCTATCACCCTGGAAGCCCATGGGGAGATGGCAAAATCTCGTCAGATCCCACTGTTGGCGATATGCACCAGTGGAACGGTAAGCATTCCCCAACAGAATTGGAATTCTTACACTTATCACCAGTATAGTGTGGCATGGAACACAAGAGAAGTACCAAATCTTCGACACTTTAGGCGGCCGATTCAATAGCGAATTTGGAATGGAGGCGTTCCCCCACATCTCTACCATTGAGCACTTTGTCGAGCACCCGGAGGACATGTTCCCTCAATCCCATGTTATCGACTTTCATAACAAGGCCGATGGGCATGAAAGAAGACTGGCGACGTACCTCGTAGAGAATCTACGGACTGCCACAGACCTCGAGGTGTGACTACCACCACGATGACCATTCGATACAGGCTAACATGTCCAGACCTATATCTATCTCACTCAAGTTGTACAAGCAGAAACCATGATGTTTGGCTATCGAGGCTGGCGCCGGCAATGGGGCGACGAGAGACACTGCGGTGGCGCCTTACTTTGGCAGCTGAATGACTGCTGGCCGACAATCTCGTGGGCCATCGTGGACTACTTCCTCAAGCCGAAGCCAGCATACTATGCTGTGAAGCGAGTCTTGAGCCCCATCGCCATCGGTGTCCGACGCGAGCACCACGACTGGAGCGTGGCGCATGCCCAGCCACCCAAGACCAGCAAGTATGAGCTTTGGATCGCCAGCAATCAACCAGAGACTGTCCAAGGCAGTGTCGAGCTGCGATTCCTATCTGTCAACACAGGCCGCGATATTCGGCCTCCGATCGTGCGCGAAGACATCACTATTGCTGCTAATGGTACCACCGATGTCATTACCGACGGTGTTCTCGACCACGTCGCCGAGCCAGAACCACATGTCCTTGCCGCCCGGTTGTGGGTGGACAACCAGGTTATGGCACGGGATGTCGACTGGCCACAACCATTGAAGTATCTCAATCTGTCTGAGCGACAGGTGGAGGTCAAGAAGCAGACAAAGAAATCTGGTGAGACCGTGGTAGTGATCAGTGTCCGCAAGCCAGTCAAGTGTCTGGTTTTCGAGGAGCAAGAAGGTGTACAACTTGAGGACAATGCTATTGACATTGTCCCTGGTGATGAGCAAACAGTCATAGTTACTGGCCTTGGAAGTGAGCCTCTGAAATACCGGTACTTGGGACAAGCATCTTGCGAAGTCGTTGAATGAGTGGCCAGTACATATGATAGCAGTAAATCCAACTATTTCAATGAGCAAAAGCACTCATACCGGACATAGATTTTTGCAAAATATCCATAGATACAAAAATGTTCGATGAAGTCGACAACCTTGACCCTTGACAGCTAGAAGATCATCTCACAATCTTATCGGGAGATCTGAACTTGACAACCTCCCAACTCCAACTTTTTGCCAATGGGTACCAAACGCGACTGGGAAGGCCAGCCACTCGAGCTCAATCCTCACGACGAAAGTATGGCAGAGGCAGAGGCAGAGGCAGCACCTTCAATCCTGTCAATCTTTGAAAACTTTCGCGATGAGCTGGACGAGCACCATGACCGCCGCGAGCGTATCATCAAGAAAAGCCGCGATATTACCGCCCTGAGCAAGAAGATGTACATACCTCCAGCTTCAGCTAAAGAAGAGTATCACTAAATGAGATTCTTTTAGTATCTTCGCCCTTCAACGAGTCCGCGCAACAAACCAACCCCTCCCACCCAAAATCGCCCAAGAAAACCAAACCCGCTTCGACCAAATCCATGCACTGTTCGAAGGTATCATCCCCGAGCAACTAGGCATCAATGGCTGGCGATACCAGCGCCAAATAAGTGCCGGAATTCAAGAATTTATCGAAGCCATCTCCTTCGACCACTACCTGCGCACGCAAACGCTAATCACCCACGCCGAGTGCTCCGCCCGCGTCCCACCGCAAATCCTCGTTTCAGAAGAAGACTACCTAATGGGCCTCTACGATCTTACAGGAGAGATGATGCGCTTCGCGGTTTTATCACTGAGCTCTGGAAACGCAACTGCTACCCAGGCAATTAAGAACACAGGAACCGACATCGAAAAATCAGCGGTCGCATCGTCGCAGGGCGGCATCGTGGTTGATCTGCGTGCTATGCGCGCAGGTTTCGAGGCGCTCAGTGTGCCACAGCGGCATTACATGTTCCGAGATATGGCGAAGAAGTTGGACGTGATGCAGAACAGTGTGGAGAAGGTTGAGCGAGCAGCGTATGGAATTGTCGTTCGGGGAAGTGAGAGGCCGAGTGGGTGGACGCCTGATATGTCGGGCTCGGTGGAGGTGGCATCCTATTAAGAGTCTACATATCATGAGGTATCCAAAAATGATCAATGGCATTCGAAAGACAGCTGTACATCGATGTGGTTTGGTATGGTTCGGTGGACTTTGCATGGCTTTCCCCCATGGCAGGAGCTATGTTTAATTTGACGATCAAGTCAGTCTCTGTCCTTAGGCCCCTATGTCCCCCAAAAGATTCCCCATGCGTGGCTCACTTCTCCATTTGTTGGAAATTTGCACATCCCATTTGACATTGCTATACATGTGCGTCACAGTGACATCATAAGTTCGGTGAAGACAGAAAAGCCCGTTGCAGAAATATTTCGAATTTGGGTGTAAAGAAAAGGATGAAGCATTTCCAAATGGAAGAATTGAAGAAGAACGCCCTCGTAAAACGATAGTATCGCCCATATTTCATAGCACCAAGAGCCAAAGCTGTGGCAACGTTGACTCAATAGGCCAAAATTATACGGGCGAGCGTGGGTTCTCATCCTCGGAGAGAATACCCTGCGAAATCAACTCTTCAGGCTGTGGCCGATTCTGAATTTTATGCTCGAGGTTATCGGCCAGCATATGCTTCTCGAGTTCACGGGCGTGGGCCTGCAGCGCTGGGGCAGCGGAGGTTGCGGGGAGAATGTTACCTTGGCAGATTGTTAGTATACAACAATTGTGCTGAGAGGAAATCCAGGTACCAGTATCAGGTACAAGAGAAAGTAGGAATCGACAATTGGGATAATCAGAATGAAAAGGAAAAAAGAAAGGGAAACAAACGCTCAACTAGCTCGTCCTTCTCTGGCCTCTTCTCCAGGTTCTTCTTCAGACTGTCTGTAGCACGCTGGCGGTCGAGCTCCTGGCGGGCAGATTGAAGAGCTCTGTCGTTGTTTTAGCAATCATATCTCAAGAAACTTTGGAGTATTCCCAGGAACACCCACGGGGCTACATTGGTGTCCAGCAGGATGTGGCGATTCTTAAGGTCTTGCATTTCCGGGCGGGTTTGGAGGTGTTTCTCCAACGAGTTGCGACGCTCGTGGGTCGGAGGAAGAGATTGTTCGATGGAAGACATTGTAAAAAAAAATAATGGTGGTCGAATTGTAGTCTGGAGGTGAAATCAGTAGAGGAAGGAAATCCTTTTTAGTCCTGGAGAAGGCGAAAGTCAAGTGATGTTCCGTGGGACAGTCACGCGGGGAAAGCGGCGGTCTATACATCTACATCATACTTGGGGACAACTGCGCAACCACACAACCATACAGAATTAAAATCATAAATTCACTTGGAAAAATCTGGAACTGGATTGCTAGTAGATCATAAAACCAAAAAAAAAATTACAATCCACTATTCTACCATCTCCCAGCGCAAAGAAAAAAAAAGCAACCGTCTCAACGTCTCCGCATTTTGACGACCTCCCATCTCCATCTCCTAGGGAAAGGGTTAATAGGGGGGAAAAAGGGGGGGTGGGCACAGGGTTTCCGAAGTAGACATATCCAAGCAGCGCATCACAGCCGCGGGTTGAATCCACCATGGGATTCATGTCCTTTCGTGTCCGAGATCCGAATATGCCGGGATTTTGGGATGGATTATGCCGGGGAAAGAGGGAAAACACACTCTGCGGGCAATCACGGCAACACAGATCCAGATCCAGATCCCCGCATTGGGGGGGTTGTTGCATTCCACCAAAGAGAAAAGAGACACCCCTGTCCGGATGTGGATGCATTGGTTCACAAAACACTCCAGTCTACTATTATCAAGAGATGACGTGGAGTAGACCGTTCTGCTCGTGCTGATCAAGGGACCCAGAGCTTACCACGGCCACGACCATTGCCTCGTGCACCGCGCGAAGATCCACCACGGCGACCATTGGACGAGCGGCGAGAGGCTCCAGCCTTACCACGGGAGCCACCAGTAGCACCGGCAGCACCCTGTTGGTTGCTTAAGTCCACAGGGGGTGTCTTGGTTGCACCGCTCAGAGACCGGCTGAAAGAGTCCGGGTCGATGGGCTTGGTAGGAACATCCACGATAGCAGTGGGCTCAGCGGGAGGTGGTGCAACCTTTCGCAGACCACCACCACGCGAGCCACCTCGGGGAGTTCCTTTTCCACGACCGCGGGGGACAAACACTAGCTCATCCTCGTCACTTTCTTCCTCGTAAGACAACAAGGTCTTCGGCTCGGCGGGCTGAGTCTGAGTTTTCTCGACGTATTTGCAGCGGTTCTTGTACTCGCGCTCCTCGTACTGGATAGCGGTGCGTAGCTGCAGAATGTTCTTGACACCAATGCCAAACTTCTGAGCCCATAGCTGGGTCGCACGGTCATTGGAGATAAGAATGCAGGACTTAGCAGAGTTTTCGGCATCGGGCCCGGTATGCAACCGCCAGAGCAGGGCGCTCAGCAATGGGCGCAGAGCGGGTGGTGCGGTCGGGATGACGGATCCAGAGGTGGTGCGCCGGTGGCTAGCAGCCTTGCTCTTGGTCTTATCATTCTTGGCTATTCCATTTCTAGACTCACGCTGGGCACACTCAGGGCTAGTGTGGGAGCTGCGAGAGGACGTGCGCGATCCAGGCCCACTGGGAGTGCCGGCAGAGGTGATCGATACAGCCTCCGGGTCCTTCTTGAAGTTCAGCTTGGACAAGAGCATCTGCGATAGATCATCCGAATCGTTCTTGGTCAAAGTATCATCGGCGCTGGGTTCAACCGCTGACTCATCATTGGCAAGGGCCTCGTCAATCACTTCGGGCTCTTCTTCGAATTCCGGTAGGAAGAATTTCTCGGCCTCCTCCCAACGCTCGTACTGCTCCATGGGGCCCTGGAGGAGAACTCGGTCGGCAGCAATATGATCTTTGCCGGATGTGACCCGGTCAAGGAAGCGGACTGCTTCACGGGCGTTGATAGCGACCTGCGATCCGGCTCGTTTCAGTGCATGGAGTCGTTCAAGTGCTAATCGGAGGATGGTTAGATCGGCAAGTCCTGCAGTGAGACAATCATGGTCTCTTCAATTTCCTGATACTCACTGTAGAGAGGAACCACGAGATCGATAGCACCATTAGTGGTCCATTTCTTGATTTCGCTAATATTGGTAGATAGGGCCGTCTCGTCCACGGCACATCGGAAGACCTTGCGTCCGGCCGACATGGCAGATAATTTTAAGGAGTGTATTCGCGTGTTCGTAGTGAATGAAAGATGCAGGGCAGCGTCCGCCCTATATCGGAAGACTGGAAGTGTAGACAACCGCGACTGAATCGGAGCCGGTCAGCACGGGCCTAGGGCTGAGGAAGGAGGTTTGATGATGGAGGGACCTGGAAATGTGGGGGGAGGGGGAGGGAGCAGTGGGATACTGGTTAATGGAGCCAGTGTTATTTTCACTCACGATGAGAATCCAGTTGACAGGGTGTTTCCATCTGTAGCATCTTTGTAACAATACAGTCTGCTTGGGGCCAAAGAACACACACCTTGAGAAATGATGCGATGGGCAGAGATGGAAAAAATGCTGACTAAGCTTGCTTCAGGAACAAGGCCGACTAAACAGATAAGTGAGGGTTTCTATGTATCGAAGAAGGATACAGCCTAAGGGAAGAGAGAAAGAAATAGAGGTAAAAAAATATCATGTTCGTGTAGAAAAGAGTTCCAGAGCCATCATTCCAGCTTATGACTTCACCTTCTTGATGAGGCCATCCGATTCCTTGACTCGTTGCGCCCACTCACTGGTTTTCATATTAGTACTAGTAGCAACGTTTGAATTTCAAGGAACTTTCTATACTTACGTCCAGCTGCCGTCATATACCCGACGCAGGTTTGGGTCCCCATATTCCGCCTCACTCAGGGCTGTCTCAATGATGGAGGCAGTCACACCAGTACCGCACGAGCTGATGATTGTTTGATTTGGATCCACCTTGTGATCCTCAAAAATCTTTCGTAGATCTTTAACAGGCAGGTACGCTTTTGTTTCAGGGTCTAGCAGTTCATGGAAGGGCAAGTTCTTGGAGCCAGGAACGTGGCCCGATGACAGGCCAGGGCGCGGCTCTGGATCGGTTCCAGCCCAGCGACCATAGGAGCGTGCATCTAGGATCTCTATTTCCTCTGCACCTTCTTTGCCATAGTCAAATGCTAACTCCTTCATCTCCCGGAAGGAGATCACGAGTCGCGAGTCGTATGTCGGAACAGGGTACTTGGACTTCTCCACCACCGCTGGTTCCCCACTCTCAGTCGGAAGGCCTTCTTTGACCCACAAACGATAATTGTTGAGTACGTGCACATTGGGATGCCCGAAGACGCGGAGTGTCCAGCCTACACGGGGCGCACTGAATATGCCCAAATCGGCAGTGTCGTAGACCACCACCGAGTCGTCGCGACGAATCCCCAACTCGCTCATAGCATCGGCAAAGGTCTCGCACGTGGGAAGCATGTGTGGATAGGGTGAATCTTGATCTTTAATAGCGTCAAGGTCAAAGAATCTGGCCTGGGGAATGCGTGAGTTGCGGAACGAGTCAATTCCCGTACGGCTCTCTGGGTCGTTCGGCATGAACCATGCTGCACAGAGGGGAATCACACGCGGGGAAGTTGATATTTTCGTCGGGGGGTTCTTCTTGAGTGCTTCATCCAGCTGCTTTGGTGTCACTAAGTACGAAGAAAAAGAGACATTGCGCTGAGTTTGAAGCCCTGTGGAGATGGACATGTTGGGGCGGAAGAGACGAGCAGGAGCAAAATATCTGGCTGCAAAAGCCATGGTGGAGAGGAAAGGAGGCTTTTAAAGACCAATTTACATAACTAGATAGCAAAGCCTTGGGGAATTATGCAAAATGCAAGTCAGACCAACGAGTAAGAGGATGCGGAAAATCAGGGAAGAGCAATAAGAGGAGTACTATTGCGTGTTATGGCGGCATATGTGGAGGTGCGGAGAACATGTGATAAGGCCGATAAGGGATAAACGGCTGTTGACCGATGGATTTCCCTCTCTTCACCTCTTCAGCTTGCCTCTCCACTATCCACTCCACAATGAAGGTCGCCATTAAAGAATGGAATGCCGTCGCTACTTGGCACTGGGATATTCCTGAGGATGAAGTATGTGGTATCTGTCGTGTTCAGTTCGATGGCACTTGTCCAACCTGCAAATTCCCCGGCGACGATTGCGCGCTTGGTGAGTGACCTTTCGACTCCCAGCTCCCTGCTTAATACTAACTATGATGACTTTTATAGTGCAAGGAAGATGTAACCACGCGTTTCATATGGTAAGGCCGCGAAGTGAACCTCTCAGGCTAGGACTGGACTGATCAACAATTCTCAAATAGCATTGCTTGATGACCTGGATTGACCTGGAGTCTTCCAAGGGACTATGTCCAATGTGCCGACAAAGTATGTTTTCTTTGTGATGTCCAGATGATATCGAGCTAACCTGTCTCCAGAATTCGAATGGAAGGATAATGAATAATGGCCTCCTTTTTTTTCTTCTCAATGGCAGTTATTGAGGTGTTGTTAGTCTAATTTGAGATACCCTTTTTTGTTTTTATTGGGCTTGATTGGAATAGTCGGTGGAACTTCTGTCTCGACTGAGCATCAAATTAACATGGCGGTTGGAGCGACTTTGATCAATCGATCGACACGAGATTGGATCACACTCTAATACTTTACTTTTACAAATTAAGGCTATTCCTACTAGGAGGGCCATTATTCATACTTGATTGGTTTAACTTGCTTGATGTTTACCATAGTGGTCATAGTTGCCTCAGCACGAACACATACAGAATGTTCGATGTCATGTCAGATGTATATAATTGCAGATCGGGCAACAGATAGGTCAACATACTTTATACCTTAGCAATCTATCAAATACCAAACTATCATCTTGAAGTATTAAGAACAACAGTAACACCTCAAGGATTAAAACCTGTCCCAACATCCAAGTCACTTGATCCGAGCTCAACTACACCGTTCGCTGCCACTTTTGATCTGATCGTCACGTGGGGCTATCGATAAGAAGCTCTCCGCACGCGAGATAGAACCTCATCTCATCCCTTATCCCAAGCTCTTCTTCAGAATGATGTAACCTCGGCTTATGGAGATGTCTCTGAGCAACTCTCTCGGCCATCCTCCCTTGGCATCTTCCATATCCCGTCAGTCACTACATAAAGAAACACCCTCTCGGCCTGGCACCGCCTCTTCGCGACCAAGTGATCGACACTCAAGAGGGCAAATGCCTGGGGGCCGCCCAGCAACCGAAGAAACTCATCAACTCCCAGGAACAATTGATTCATCTTGCCAAGACGCTACTGTGGGTGAAGCTCAAGACCACCACGAGGAAGGCCAAGAACAACCTCTCTCCCACCCCGCATTCCAGCCGTTCTTCACTTTGATCGAAGATGCTCATACCTCAGACTGCCACCACCCAACGGTTCATTACATATTCTCCGACGATGACACCGATATAGTGACAGAGGCAGCCCTACGTAGCTTGGCTGTGCAGCAAGAAGCTCTCTCCAATTCCAAGAAAGACCAGATCGCGCAGACCCAAGCTCCCAATCTCCAGGACGAGATCAAAGACCTCTCCACTCCAGACCTAGCCAAGACCACCCTACTTCCACCGACTATTGCAGGAGTTCGGGATAACTATGTCATTCTCGATGTAGAGCCCTCACCACATACACCTGGGGCAGCGCAAATCAGCCGGATAACCGAAAAGCAAGCACCAGGCAAAGGCGAGAGTGGAACGAAGTCCATATCATCGTCGCCGGCGAACATTTCCCCAGTCCCACAGTATCAAGGGCAGCTACACCCGCAGTATCGCGTTACCGCAGCGCAGAGTTTCTCATCAACATGGCAGGTCCTCCACACGGAAGTTGTGTCGGCGCCCACTTTCGAGAACAGTAATCCTGGCGAACTACCAGGACATGGGTTGATGCTGAAAATTCGTGGCACAGATGGGCTGCCAATTAAGGTGGGTGGCATGGAGAAGGGTAGTACGCTTGAGGAGATGATGGATCAATTTGCAAAGCGGATGAGCGAGTTGCAGGTTGTTATCGATGCTGCAGAGGCTGCGGACTCATCGAAGGGAGAAAACGACGAGGAAGAAACTATGCCCAATTTCTTCTCCCCAGAGACAGCTGAAGAGACTTTTCAGGGCGACGGGGATGGTGCGGCCTATGCTGCAGAAGTTGGGGTGAAACATTCTTGATTATTAATTAACGCTGCTTTTGGCACATCGAGGAGAAAGCATCGGCGTTTGCATCAAGTCTACGACCAGGCTAGTGCCCGATGAACCTCATGAATATACTTTGAATATAAGACGAATAAATCCAACTCGGAGGTCAAGTATGGTATTAAGATCTATCATCCCTATAGGGATATCAATGTAGTCAAGCCAGAAACGCCAAGCAGAAATGTCTTTCCATGGCGCTCAGACAAAAGAAGAGATACAGGAGGATAACCCAAACCAACCATGTTTTCTCAGCCAAAAACTCCAACCCAGAGTGGAAAGCCGAGCGACTATCGGGTATCAAAAATTGCAAGAAAAAAGAGCAAACCAAATAAGGAAAAAAAAAACATGAAACCCATCTAATCAGACGTGCGGTTTCTGAACCTTCGGCCACTGGCGATGGCTGAAGGGGGCAAATTTTCGCGCCCCTCCTTCAAGCCAGTCATCCTTTTTGAGAGCATGGTTTTGGGGAGTTTGGACTCCGTATTGATGTTTGAGTTAGAGCGTCGCCGTTTGCGGGAAGGCTCAGGCTCTTCCTTTTCTGGCGTCTCGTCCAGGTCCGCGGATGTGACCATCGCGGGGGTTTCCCGCTTGGTAGGAGGTAGTACGTCGTCGCCATCAGACACAACCAGTTTGGCGACGTTTAAGTCGACTTCTCTAAGGCCAGTATTGGGAGGTGGGACTGTGGATGGTGGAAGAGAATGGCCTTCCTCTTCCGGAGTATCATAATACACGAATTTCTTGGGCGGTGAAGCCTGGGGTGAATCGCGAGCAGGGGAGTCCTGTTGCTCCTCCTCACTGAATGGCAGAGCAGTAAACTGCTTGGATGTCCGGTGTCGAGTGCGAAGGCCGTCATGAGCTTCCGTTTGGGGCATTTCCAAAGGGTATTCATATCGTCGCTTCTGAGGTGTAATACCTGTTGGGACATACTCTTTCAGGGGGTGGCTCTGGATGTTGGACCGCAAATTCAAAAGTGGTTGGCGGACTTCAGCATGCAAAGGTGCAGTAGTTTGTTCCATGTTCTCAGTATGGAAATCGACATCCTCCTGCAGTTGCTTGACACGTCCAGTAAACCCATTGAGTTGCCCATAGATGTTTGAGCGGGACTCTCGGGCATTCTTAGCCATGGCGTTTAAACTATCTAGGTGTGATTCATGGAAACGGCCATTTTGGAATCGTGCTTTCGCAACAAAGTCATCCAAAGCCTTCATTTGTGTACCCATGTCGCTCATTTGAGCATCAACAATGCGCACAGTCTCTTGATGCACAGACTCCGTTGCGCGATGAATTGAGGCATTACGCTGGTCGAAAGTCTACTATCGTTAGTTTCCTTTCGCAAACCAAATGGTGTCAGTTAGTCTTACCTCCCAATCATTCTGCATTCTGGTTTTAATTTCATCTTTGGATGAAGTGATGTCTTTCGCAAACTGTTCCTCCTTGAAAATCCATTCATCAACGTGTCTGTCGTGCTGCGCAGTTGCTTGCTCAAGAGAGTCGCCTGATGCCGATATGCCGGTGCGTAGGGTATCAAATTTGCTCTTAAGGCGGTTGTTCTGTTTATTACTTGAGTCCTCAAGAAGTCCCCGAATATGAGACATTAGAGTCTCACGCTCGGCTTGTGCACTCGCATGTTCCTCTTCCAGAAACTGTGCTAGATTGGATGAAGCTTTTCTACTGGCCTCTATCGTCTGGCGATTAGCTGCTTGCAGCTGGAGACGTAGTTTGTGGACTTCGGATTTCTGTTCATCAAGGTGCTTTGCCATGTCCTCAAACATGTTCTTGAAGTCCTTGCCTAAGGTGCTGTATGACGAATGAAGTTGGGAGTGGAACTCCGAGAACTCCCCAATAACCTCTTCGGAGATCCGAGCAGCAGCAGCTGACAAGCCATTCAGGCCTTCACCAACTTTAGACTTGACTTCTTCTCTCAGGACCTTGATCTCCTCGAGAACTTCATTCATCTCGTCGTGGGCAGTGGAGGTGTTGTTCTTGGCCTCTGCCTCTGCCTTGTCAAATGAGGCATCAAGATCCGTAAGGTGGGAGCGGGCAAGCTGCACAGTGTCCAATTCATGGTCTACAAAATGGTGTATTTTGCCAGACATCTCCTCTAGCAGATTCGCATGCTGCGATAGGAAGATCTGCATGCGAGCATCCACCCGTTCTGTGACATGCGATACCTTGCCGGTTGATATTTGCCAGGTTTGCCGATTATCGGCCTCTAGGTTGTCTTTGCGATCCAATTTCGCATGCAGTCCATTCACGTCTTGAATGGTACCGTTCAAAGTGGTCACTAGGCCGGCACCGATGTGACGAAGCTGCTTTTCCGTGTTTTGATGGGCTTTCCGCACAATCTTCTCTTCGTCCAACTTCTCCTGGGTGTCCTTCCAAAACTTTTCTGTTTCGTTGAGAACATCACGTGTTTCTTTGAGCTTGGACAGAGTGTCCTCATTGTCATTCTTTAATGAGTTGAAGTTGCCCGTGATAGAAAGTAGCTCTTGGACCTTGTGGCGAAGGCTTGCCTCCATCGACTCGATCTTGGCACGCTGTTCTTCGTTGACGATTCGCCGCGATTCACTTTCCATCGTCATTTCTTCGTATGCATCAGGCGTCATATAGACTCCATTGCGATGTCGGGTGGCAATGAGCTCGCTCTTGAGCTTCTCAATTTCCATACCGATATCACGCAGGAGCTTGGTTTTAGAAATGATAGAATTAATCTGAGGTTTGTTGCGAATGTTCTTGGCTCGGAAGGCATAATCCAGGGTAGAGATTGTCTCCTCTAGGTTGTTGCGGGCAGGCGAAACAGTGGCGATGATACATGTCTTTGTTCGTCCTCCAAGTGAATCTTGTAGCAGTCTTGTGAGTTTTGACTCTCGGTAAGGAATGTGCGAGCTCTTATCTACCAGAGCGTTGATCACTCTCCCAAGTGTGAGTAGACTCTTGTTGATAAGGCCTGCCTCCGTTGCCCGTTTATTCTCTGCACCGCTCCGTCCGATGTTTTCGCTACCTGCGAGATCAACTAGATTCAACTTGCCCGAGCTAACGTAGTCTTCGCCAGATTCGGTCGTGCGCTTTGTGAGAACGGTGATGGTGAAAATTGTATGACTTCGGGAACTCAGGTCGTTGCATTTCGTGGCTGCTACTTGGCGTTTGTGGCTGCCTGTCTGAAGTAGTCTGATTCCGGTGGACGCCGAGTCGATGTAAGTCTCCTCCATGCCCTGAACCATTGTGCTGTGTCCTCCCTTCTTCTCATTTTCGAATATCTTGAGCTTGGTACTATCATCATATGAAAGGAGATCTCGGAGTTCCTCGTTGTAAAGTTCGATAAAGGAGCATTTCACTGTACTTTCTGTGTCCTCGAGCTTGTTAAACAAAGCGTAGAGGGTACGTGGAATAATTCCTGCATCGTCGGACAGGATTCCTAATGTGTCTGTCATGTCTCCTGACATGGTATATGTCTTTCCCGTTCCAGTCTGTCCGTATGCGAAGATAGTGCAATTGTAACCTGCCAACATCTGTAGGGAATTAGCGCGCTCTTTATATGTCATACGCCATGACCATACTAACCTCGTCGAGGACCGGTACAACCACATCATCGTAGACAGTGGTTTGATCGGCGGCCGGGGAGAAGACCTTATCGAAAGCATATGTCTTGTTTGAAACCGCATTGGGTCCCATCGAGAGATCGAGGGTCTTGCCTTTCACACCTTCCGGTGTTGACAAGACAACGCCGTTGTTGTCTTTGATCTCGCGATCGCTGCGGCCACGACAGCGGACCACCACATGAATGCTTGTGTCCTCGTTGATTTCTCGTTCAAAATCTTTCTCTTTCCTTTTGTTCGCGGAGCCCGCCTTTTCGGGACTTCTCGCCACACGGGGTGCACTCATAGCAGTTGACCTCACTGAGGGTGTAGACACTCCAGGTGGTGCATGACGTTCTGGGACTGCTGAACCCGCTCGTCGAACTGGTTGGCGCAAACCCGACCTCCTCGTGCTGGGGAGGGTGGACGGGGGCCTTGGTGGGCCAGCCATGTTGACAATGCGACACTCGAAGATGATGTGCTTAGTAGCAATATCCGAGGGTTAGGTTGAAAGTCGTTTTGATCCTTTCATCAACTGTGTCGGAGTCTTTCAGGGTTGTGCATGTCAGTGGAACTTCATCTCAAACTGGAAAACATAAACAAACCTTACATAATCAAGATACTTCCCCTCTCACATGACTCGGTCGGCTGTGCCATCGTCATCGCCCTCTTATCGCTACCCCTACCCCCTCACAACGTGTTGACTTCCAAGGTTCCCCTATATTTCTAGAGCTCCCACCTCTTTAACTAATAAGCACAGATCGATCATTGCATGGACTGTAGTCCTTCCCTAGTCGCCGGTCTATGAGAACCGACCACTATGACTTCTTCTACTTCTCCGACGCAGCCGCAAATATTCCCTGGCAAAGGACTCGGTTTTATCAGTATGTGTCTGACGGTATTTCCAGCGACTCTCGCTAATACATGACATTGAAAGCCCTGGGCGCTTCACTCCACAATGTCCTCACCCGTGTCAAGTCCTACCCTCAGACCTATCCCGCCATCGACCTCGCCTACTCTCCCGCAGATCCTCTTCGCAAGCCAGTGGTGTTGCAGCTACCTTCAAATGGCCTGCGCCTTCGATTTGACGGTCCTGATCAGAGGCTCCGTTTGATCGAAGTTCTCGAGTTCTCTCGAGTGAATCTGGTTTACAAAAACCAGGAGGTCCTCAAAGGTGTAAAGTCAGCCGAACAACCCTTATCCTCGCATGGTCCCAGCTTCCGGCACGTTTACAATCGCTTGTTTGGTCCCTCATACCCAGGAGAATACGTACCACCGGCAGATCCGCAATCGCCATATGGCACCTATGTGCTCTCGTATCCCGGGGTTGCATTCTCATTTCCTCTTCAGCACTCTGCCTGGTCCGACCAGTGTGATTTTGTAGCATTGTTATCGTCCTCGGCTGCCCTTTCAGCTACATCTATGTCAATATTCCAAGGATCATCATGGCCTGAGGTCCGAGCCAAGTTGTTCACACAACAGGCACAGTACCCACGCTCGTCGGCTTTGATTGGCAAATCACGAGAATCATTGGCGGATGAAATTGAGGAGTGGCACGTCCTGGGTGCTGGGAAACTTGAAGTGATTCGCAGGACGTGCTCTCCCTTATACATAACACTGGGAGAGACGACTCCCCAGGACTTGATTGCAGACTTCGGTCCACCTGACGCCATCTACCGTAAGAACGACCGACGAATCTCGATTCATCGTGCAACTGGGGGTGGTGATCTACACCTGAGTCCCTCTCCAGGCAGAGGAATCGAGATTGCGGACGGCGATCACTCCTCTACTAACAGCGTAACTGATGATTCAGACGAAGAGGTGGCGACCTTCAATCTTGGAGACCCCGCTTCACTGCCCGCGGAATACTTTATGAATTACTTCCACCATGGGTTTGATGCCTTCATCTCGTATCCAACAACGCCTGGACCGGCTTTCCCTGCCTCAGGCCTTCCGGATCCCTCGCCGCAGCCACCATCTTCTCAGCTGACAGTGACAAAGATTATTCTTCATGGGAATGTCCCAGGATCCTATCCATTTAATCGTCATCGCCGAAGTCGCTGGCAAATTTCATTGGATGAGTCTGGTGACAGTTTGACGTCAGAGTCGCCCTACGATGAAGTCTCGGAGCGGCTGCGCACTACTTGGAAGGGATCTTACGCCAGCCCCGCCGAGGAACGTGCTCTACAACGGCCAATGGTGCTGAACCGTGGCTGGGGAGACAGCCCTGAGAGCAGTGTTGAGTTCCTTGGGGGCTGGGAGGAGAGCACGGCCAAAGGTCCTCGGAGTGGCGCTGATGGTCAAGATGGAGGATTAGGCAACACCGAGCTTTTCGGGTTTCCGGGACTTTTATTTGAAGTTCTCAAGAATGGCGCCGTAAGTTGTCTGACAGTGTACTGATTTGAGACTATTGTACGCAGCAAGTTTTTTCAACTATATTTCAATGCATGATGAATCACGATCTTCCTGGCTATGTCCATGTCAGACTGTAGCCGCTCAACACACAGTATTTTGTAAATGTGAATTGTGGAACTTGGCAATTAGTATAGGAGATAGTGAGTTAAGAAGCCGAATTTGACCACTGTGCTGATCGTCACTTTGATCCCTCTATTCCCAAAATTATTCATGTCAGACACCCTACTCCCCCCAGGGCCCCGAAAACCACAGAAGATTTGCTATGCAATCCCATACTACAAACCATTCGTCTACTCATCTTTCTTCATCACATCCTTCACTTTTGCTTGGATAGCCTACCTCTCAACAGGCTGCCAAATGTGTCTGTGGATCGGGTTCGTCACACATTCATCGATCTGGAGAATTTGTTTCGTGTACGTCGTCCACTAGGATCTATAACATCCTTGGACGATAGGTCCCTGTCGGTCAATGTTTTGGTCTTGATGAGTTTTTCTTTTTCTTTCTCGATTCTCTTTTGTTTTTGTTTTTTTCATTTGATATCATTCTGCTTGGGTATTGTTCAAAGATATGGTGTAATCATAAATCAGGTGTGATACCTACAATCCATTGATCACTTCGCAACTTGTGTCTGATACTCTCCTGCGTTCTCAAGGATGGCACACATGTTTTCATCCTTAATCATATCATCTGCTGCTCGACTGATCAAGAACCTTCCAGAACGAGACAATCACACACATCATACACATCATACAGAAGGGTCCGATTCCACCAGAATAAATGCTCGGCATCAGAACCTCCCAAAGCAGATCAAAGCGATAGCCAGCCAATCCTCGTGGCACTAGTGTTGAAAAGCTGGGATTTTACGATCGACTCGTAAATGAGTTAGATAGGGATATTGCTTCATAGAAGAGAAACATCAAAGTTGGAACTAAGCAGGTTTTCTTGCACCGGTTCTTGAGTTTGCTGCGTCTGCTGAAACGGTCTATTTGATCCACGGAGTAGCCTCGAAGGTCCCGACTGCCATCGGATATTAGATGAGACATGATGAACAAAAGGCCACGCAAGGTCACAACGGTCAAATTTCAAGTGGCTTCTCCAAACTGTTGCCACATCGTGTCGGTGTGCTAGCCGGGGGAGAAAATTGCCCTCAGTCTGGCCAATCCCAGTCCCAATCCCAATCCTTTGGGATGTAGGCTCCTAGATTAAAAGTAGATACTTTGACCAGCTATTCTCCAAGACGATTCATACTTCGAAAGAAATAGTAAGCAGGAAATAAATCAAATATGATGACCCTAAGCATACGTTGATGTAGATAATGGTTCGGATTACGTCCCGAATCAGACTTCGATCCCCAATCCTGGATGAAAACACGAAGCTCATCAGAGATATGAGGGGGTTATGGGGGCGTATGTGGATCTGCATAGAATTGAAACGAATAATAGAATCCGCATTCGCTCTCATTGGTGTCAATAATGCACATTGATACTTTCTTGCGGATTATTAAAGGGAATGTGAATCCTCCCGAAAGGACTTCTACTTCTACTCTGTATCAACCTTGAGTATGGACGTTTATGAACCACCAAGAGTCAAGCCGACAGACGAAACCAAAGATGATCCTGCTATAAAGCCCACGCAAAATACCACTCATGATGTTGTGTTTGGAGAAATCACAGAAGAAGGACCAAACTACCGCAATGTGCATATTAACGAGTTGAAATTGCACAACCACTCTCACACCAGGCTGACCTCTCTTTAGGTTGGCTTTCTAGGAACTGTGATTCTGATGTTAAATTCTCAGATTGGATTGGGGATTCTCTCTATTCCGACTGCCTTCAATTCACTGGGGATTGTTCCAGGCGTGATTTGCCTGCTTGCCATCGGTGTGATCACTACGTGGTCTTCAACCACCCACCATGCCACCAATTCGTACTCAATCCTCTCGAAATTCAATGGAGCAGGAGGGTAGCATCTTACTAGCTATCCAGGCCTTTAAGAATCAAGAAATCTCTTCAATTCGTGAAGTGGCGCGCCGTTTTAACGTCCCAAGATCCACCCTTTCTACCCGCCTGAATGGTATACAACACCGCGCGATTTCTCGCGCCAACTCTCGTAAATTAAGTGAGACTGAAGAGGAATCACTTGAAAAATGGATATTCTCTATGGACGCTCGTGGTCCAGCTCCACGACCTTCAATGGTGCAAGAAATGGCGAATGTTCTACTTTCGCATCGCGGAATCAACCCATCATCTACAGTCGGCAAGAATTGGGTCATTAATTACATTAAACGACATCCCAATCTATCCTCGAGACTCTCCAGACGTTACAATTACGAACGTGCTAAATGTGAAGATCCAAAAATCATTAGTGAATAGTTTACACTTGTTCAAAAAACGATTCTTCAATACGGCATTGACAACGATGACATTGATATCTTCGATGAGACTGGTTTTGCAATGGGATTAACCGCAACTGCTAAAGTCATTACGAGATCTGAATACTACGGTCGGCGATCACTTTTACAACCTGGAAATCGCGAATGGGTGACTGCAATTGAATGTACAAATGCTTCAGGTTGGGCACTACCATGCATTATTTTCAAAGGCAAAGTATTCATTGAATCTTGGTTCGACAATATTCCAAATGATTGGCGCTTTGAAGTCAGTCCTAATGGATGGACCTCTGATGAAATTGGCCTTCGATGGCTTGAAAAACTATTCATTCCATCGACTTATTCACGGACAAATGGTCAATATCGACTTTCTAGTCGAGG